CTTCAGGGCGAGCACCAAAGCCACGATGTTGACTATGATCATTGGTCATCGGAAATTCGGCCAATACTTTCGCCTAGTCCGAGGGTTACTGCGTGTGCCGGAACCTGCTCGCGGTTCTCTTTAAATAAGAGGACTCGGCCGTCTTGTATCTCCCTGGCAGGACCGATGAGAATTGTAATATGGTTGGAGACGGGACACGCAAACAGCTTCACCGAGGCATTCGGCCGAGACGGTGCCATGCTGTGTGTCAATGGTTACTGATTATAATCTGCCAAGTAGCCATTGATCACGTCTCCTCGTTGTCTCTGGTCGGTCCGTATATGTTGTCAAATGCATCCCGGGTACCGAGAATCAGGAAGTGGTATTGGAAAGCAGTCAGACCGAAGCCAGTTTAGCGAGTGTGTTCTTGTCTCCAGAGAAAAGCACCTGGACATCTTACTGCAACACTGACGACTCCGCCATAGTTGGCTGTCGTCGACCCCTATTCAGTGCTCTGAAGAAATGACCACGATACGACAACGCACACCGCTATATACGTTCTGCGCGGAAGGCTTTGCCTCAAGCTGGAGCCTCACATTTTGATACATGAATTCCGGCTGTGGCTTTGCTGTTGGTTTGCGAGGCCAAGACAAGTTGGTGAGCGCAGTATCAGAACAGAAAGTGATTACGCGTACAGTTGTCTGGTTGTCGTAGAACGATGCGTTTCTCCTCGAATCGAGACAGCATCGACCACGTATGAGGTAGACTGGTATTCGTTTTTGTCGTCGAATCGTTGTTGCCCAGGGTAATAGGAGAGCACTAGAATCTAGATGTCTGAGTCTTGAGAAGAACAGGATGATACTTTGTGGGGGGAAAACCCCCCACCATAAAAGAGAAGTCCTCGTCCATTTGCTATTTCTGGGGTTGTACGCTAACACACGGTCCTGGTTTTTCAAATATTCGGAAACCTCTGGAACTAAGCCCTTACTTAATCCCTGAGATCGAATTTATCTTGCTCTGTATATTGTTTCGATGCCATACCAGTAAGGCTTTTTTTTTTTTTGTTCGTCAGTGTTGCTCTTCGTCTGACTGGTACTCATACTCAAATATGTATCCAACGGATAAGAGAAGATGTTAGAGGAGAATGGCTAAAAGATACGCAACGCTTAAGTCATGGTAGGTAGTCTAACAGAGGCTTCACGGAAAGTAGACACACCTAGGCCATTTGTTTCAATAACGGAATCAGCCCTCCCAGACAGGAAATTCTGCTCTACATTTCGGAAATACTTTATATAAACCAGCGGGAAACACGGCTTCTCCGAGTCTGTTGTAACATCTCGATGTGTTATATAGAAAGACTACGTCCCGAACATGAAAGAATTACAGGCAACCGTGGGAAATATCAGTGCAAATGCGAGATTGGGTCGGTGTACACGAGCTCATGTACTATATCCTCTATATGAAGGCTTCGGGCCATGTCGGTCCAATGACGACTGAGTCTTAGCCGGAGCTTCCCGTCCTCATAATTGGCGGATCCGTATCTGAATACGCCAGTAATAACCAGACCCCGAGGAACGGGCAAGGGCAATTCCGCTCTTCGCAGAGTCTGAACACAATATCCTCTTTAGAGCTTCGTTCCAATGCCATTGGAAAGCCGTGATAGAAACCTTTTCGTCACAGTAAATCAAGCTCGTGAAGTACGAGTCCAGAAGAAGACCGGTTCGAAGACTCGTTGATAGTAACCCGCACACGTTTATGTGCAGAATCAGACGGGAAAGCAAGTATGCGTTGAAACGTTGAGTGACAGCAGTTGGCCGCATTTTTAAACAAGCCGACCTTTAAAGAGCTCCGGGGTTGCAGTCCGTGGACTGCCTGATGTGCCTTCCCGTCTACTTCCAAACACTGATCTCTCAGTATCTGTACTTCAGCAAACAGATGGAAACGTTGATCGTGAAATAAAGGCCATGGTTGACGTTGCGGTTACTGGGCCCCTGTAAGTAAATCCTTGCTGATCCCTATACGAAGCCTCTCCGGTATAACCGTACGACCTTGGCCATGGAGCTGGGAACGTTTCCACTTGCCGGGGCTACGCCATAAGATGAGAGCGCAACGTTGGCCCGAGCCCTTCCAAACCTGGCTTCGTCTTCGCTGCCTCAGATCGCCGCTGTGCACGTATTCTGGTATAGGGACAAGCAAGATTCGGACATCAGCGCCTGAAGCAGCAAAGCAAGACGTTCCCGTGCCGTTCCCAGACAGGTTACAGGATTGAATCGCACCTTGAAGAACCAACGGGAGCATAGCGATCGTTCCCTGAGTATAGTTTCCCTCGACTGATGAGCACGTTCCATGCCCGTTGTTGAGTTCATCTTTAGAACTTTAGCCAATGCTCTATACAAATGTGCAACACCCGACCAAGCGCTCGGCGGCGGTCCAAAGCTCAAGATCCGAGTAATCCCTCCTCCCAGTTCCAGTGGCTCAGTTTGGGTTGACTCACAACAGCTAGGATCGACCGTCAAGTTCTTGCCTCTCCAGCCAGTCTCCACGATGTCATGGTGATACCTGAACAGAACAACAGCATGATTCCAGACGGTGATCCAGGCTCCGACGAGCCTAACGGAGGTTACTGGCACGTAGTAAACCGTTGAAGTGAAGAAGCAATCAAAAGACCTCGAAAGAAGGCTCACATAAGAACTGTATACTAGTGCCCTGCCGCCAACGTCAAACCCGTACGCCCCGGAGTTCCTAGTGTTATAATTACACGTCCGCCACTCATCGTCCCGATTCCTACAATCTTCCCTCCCCGCTCCCAAACCATCCGTTGTCGCCCCAATGTCCAATGGGCTTCCGAGCCCTCCCAGGAATCAATCCCGACAGCCGCAGGAAAGCCCCCCTTTTACAGAGCAAGGTTGTAGCTGTACTCGTCCTCCATGTTCTGGCTAACCCAGAGCACGACGCTGCTCAGGCCGACCAGCGCGTTGGCCACAACGTTCTCGATGCCCATGCCGAGCGCCGGCATGCCGACGTCCTGCACGACGAACTTGAGCACGAAGACGGTGACGCCGCCCGCCATGCCGCCCGCGAGCGCCGCGAAGCCGAGGAACAGCACGACGCGCGCCTTCCACGCCACGCCGTTGCCGCTGTACGAGAAGCTGTCCGCGGACAGCCGCGCCTTCTCGACCGAGTTGATGATGAGCATGCCCAGCGACGAGAAGATGAGGGGCAGCCAGTCGACAAAGGTGATGTGCGTGTCGGAGCCGTTCTTAGCCGATTTGGACCAGACGGCCGAGTCGAGCATGACGTAGAATGCGATGGAGAACTGGGAGGGAGAGAAAAAGACGAGTGTTAGCTGGTTTTCCGAGTATGGTTCCTTGAGGAACCGGAGGATGGAGGAGGGGTTGGACAAGGCAGCGAGCAGCTACGTCAAACGTGCCCTGACAATGGACGGGACCCGAGGGGAACAGGAAAGGGAAGCTTACCAGAGCTCCGGCGCCGTAGACGCCAAAGTTGCGTGCCCAGACGCTGTTCAGCCATTCCGGCTTGCGGAACTTCCAGAGGCGGTCCTCCTCCATGGCTGCGTGTGTGGTGTCGGGCGGGTGGGTAGGTGGGCGAGGTAGGCAGCTATAGTCGGCGACCGTCGCGGACGGTTCGTTTGGGCACTTGGGGGTTGTTGCGTGCTCCTAGACAAGAGGCGAAGCTGCGGCTGCACGGCACGCAGACTGTGTTGTGTCGTGATTGGGATTACGGAGGATGTGGTTCGGCCGGCGTGGTCGTCGGCGGTCGTTGGTTGCTCGGTGTAAGGCTGGAGGTGACGAAGGTCCGGATGTTGGCCGCCTTGACGTTGATCCGGCACAGCTGAGGCGTCAGAGTCCCACCACCTGATCCCTGTTCCAGAGCTGTGTCATCTCACGTGACCTTGGGTCACGTGCTCAATCATCTCATTGCGCCTTGGGGCATATGGGCCATCAACGACACCCCGGATGAGGTAAACTACGTTGTCTAGGTTCCAATCATCAACAATTGATGGCTCTTTGCAAGCGTAGTAGCGAGAGTTGGGGCATTTGATTCGAATGTAATGGTTGGTGAAAAGCTCCGCTACTGACTCCTCATCACCAACTTCCGTCTCGACTTCATCCCTTGCCTCGACTTACCCAAGCCCGGACCCATAAACGAGATGATACACAAAGACACGGCGTGGATCCTCGGCCGTAGATCCGATCGGTGCGGACCGGGCTTTTGTGATGTTCTAGGCTCCTTCTCACCCCCGTTGGGCACCCCCGCAAATACGAATCGGTCACTGTGGCACGCAATACGAGGAAATGAGGGGAATGCCTGCCGCACCCCGAGCTCACGTACGCGGGCGGAAGGTCAATCTGTACTCACAACGACAAGGGGGCACTGAAGAATACGGTTTGGCCCAGGCCGTCACGGCCGACCTGTATTGAGGACTAATCCTACCTACGCCCATGCCTCGGAGCGCTTGAGATAAAAAAGTAGACAAAAGACCCTTAATAGTACACTAACAATTACTGGCACGCCTGCCATCACCAGCCCGCGAGATTGTCGTCTCATACATCTCCCCCAGGAGACCATGGTCTGCAAGCTCTGTCTGGACAACGGCCGAGCCGCCGCCCGAGATGTGCTGACTACACAGGTTGGTGCAAATGTACGTATCCACGCAGCTATGTCCATAGGCTGCAGAATATTCGGAATGGAGAAGAGGTCCACTCGATGTATTCCGGTTCCGGCTCTTTCCCTTTCCAGAGAGAGCCCAAAGAGAGAAAGAAAAAAAAGAGTAGAAAAGAGACTTTCAAAAAAAGCCCAGCCGCCGTGTTCCCTGATGCTCGATAAAAAAAAGTTTTCAATGTTGTATGACCCCCTGCGGACGTCCTCTCATGATGATTAGAGCCACGGACGCCTCAAACGCCGATGTTTTGCTGTAAGACGAGCCTTGTTGCGTAACAAGGCTCCGAGAATAGGGGAAACCGTATCGTCGTGCTGTCGTATCCAGTTTTGCACACCTTCTAAATCTCGATCTCCTTCATCGGCTCCTCCGACACCTCAGGCTGCTTGCCATTGGCCTTGCCGTTTGTCTTGCCGGCGGGGTTCTGGTTCTCCTTGCCCTCGCCCTCGGCGGTTTCGACGTGCGACAAGAGTGACACGCGCGAACCCTTGCCGTTGTCTTCGCTCGGCCGGGGGGTTTCGACTTCGACAAGCTTCGTCGGCTTGAGACCGTTGGTCTGCAGCTCCGGCAGGGGGGTTTCTTCGGCCACTCGTGCAAGGGGACTGGACTTTCCGTAGCCAGGGCGGATGGGGCTGGACACCGGAGAAGTGCCTCCTAGTCGCTGCATCGATCGTCCTCGCTGTTCACCGTTGGGCTCGGTTGCCGTCGGACTCGAGTATGGAGAATTGGCGCCAGATCCGGCCGGAGATCCAGCTCTGTTGGTGGGAACGACCGACTTGCGCTTCGCGACTCTACGGCCGTACTTCTGGTCCATGCGCCATCGCAGGATGCCGAAGTAGGGAGGCTCAACACGCGTCTCCTTAAATTCCCGCAACTTGAGCTCATTGGTCTCCTCGTCCACGAACCACTTGCCGCTGGAGAGGTCGTCTGCAACCATGGCAAGGAAGTGGGCCCAAGAACGAGCAATGACGTACTTGGTATCGTAGTCGCGGCCAAAGAGAACAATTTGTCCCCATCTTCCATTGGGGCCAGGAGCGAGATCCACAGCCAGGTTGTTTCCGCCCCAGTCGCGCACCAGGGGAATCCAAGCTGGGTGGGCGTACGAGCGCTGAATGGCGTTGGGAGGGACGCTCTCCTGGCGAGCGATGAGGTCCTGGCGCCACGAGCCGTTGTTCGCGGCAGCGGGCGAGGCCGGTGTCTTGGAAGAAGAGGCCTGGTTGCTGCTGCCGAGAGCCTTGGGCAGAGCGGCGGGCCTGGCGTAGGCCGCTTCTGAGAGGAATTCTTGGTTGACCTTGCGCCACTGATCCCATTCCTGAACAATCTCCTCGCAGTCGAGCAGCATGGAGCCAAAAATGATGCCGGTGGGCATTCCCAGTCGTTCTTGACCGTCGTGAATCATCAATGAATCTCTTACGTCGAGGGGGAGAGAGCAGTCCAGTTGATGCTCCAACTCGTTGAGATCGTTGTCGGTACAGCCCTCGCAGAGCTGGTCCCACAGCTCAGGATAGTGCTCCTCGGCCCATGAGTCGATCTTCTTCCACGAATGGGAGACGGGAGGGGGAGGAGGAGAGCCATCCTGAAAGGACTGCATGGGAACATCTCCTGGACTTTGCAGCTCGAAGCCGTCGTGCTGGCTCTCGCGTCGGGCAGATTGAGACCTGAGACCGGGAGAGTAGGGCGCTGAAGGGTTGGGGCTGGTCGGGGTGTAGGGCATGCCACCACCTTGGTAGCTGTTCTCGCGGGAGAACCTGTTGTAGTCCTCTGTGAAGGGGGAGGAAACATCGGCACGCGATTCGGAGGCAGTCGCGACGGAGGTTAGGATGCCACTCTGGCGATTCAGGGGAACGTGTCGACCGGTTCGGTGGGGGGAGTCAACGGTAGAGTCTAAGATACGTCAGTCTGATGATGGAAAAACCTCGTTTGCCAAGTTGTCCAAACGTACGTCGGTCGTAGCTGGTCAGATCGTGCCAGAGAGAGCGGAAAGCTGCACCGAAACTGTCATCGCAAAGTTAGTGTCTCGGCCCTCCTTTGCGTCCCAAGAAGAGGGGACTGAACAGCAACGAGGATTGGTTGTCAACGTACGAAGACGCCATGATTGGCGATGGGGCCCTTGGCCGATTTGACAAGACAATGATACTGCTCCGGGACTGAGGAAGAAAAAAAAAAGGACGCGATCGGCCGGTTGCGGTTGTGCGAAAAATAAGGAAAGGGCAGTGAAGGTCGGGGGGTTGAAGAAGACCGATTTCCCCCTTTGGTCGTTGGCGTTTAAGTTAGGGGTAACGGCGGATTCGTCAAAGACGGATGAGAAATGTCCTCGATGGGGGTCCCCTTGAGTTGGGTTGGGGGGAAGATGCTCGACCACGACGAACTGTCGACTTGCAATGGGGAAAATGGGTAGAGGACGACACACAGCGCGAGTATGAAGCCTGAGCAGTGAATCGGGAGTTGAGAGAGGGAGTATGATTCCGAAAGAGCGCGGTCAGGTCAGGGGCGGGCCGCGAGGGTTGGATTGTGTGTTTATGTCTGACGGAGCGTGTAATTTTTAGAGTTGGGGACGATGGCGTAGTGAACCCGTCGCGCTTCCACTGTGCCTAGTCGGGGGTGAGGAGGATTGGATAAGGGCGAGCGCAGCAGTAGCTCGCAGTGCAACGTAGCGGAAAGCAGTGCAGTACCTTGGTACCTCAGAGTTCACCAGGTATTTGCAGAGGAGCCAGCACGACAGGGCGAGGTGAGGTGGACGACGTTCTGGTCCAGTCCTTAGGTCTGGTGGGTAGCGGCGTGGGCTGTGGCACTCCAGGGGAAGGAAGGGGGCCCCGTCGAGAGCCAGAAAGAGGCGAGGAAGGACGGTGGGCGTGGAAGAGGGAGGGGGAGGTCGAGTAAAAGTGTGGGACTTTCAGAACGGTTTAGGAGAGAAGGGGGGCCCCCGGTCTCTCCTTTCTCATTAAAAATATCAACTGGTGCCTTCCTTGCCGTAGTGAGCAAAAAGACTAAAGACCAACCAAGACGAAAAGCAAGTGGTGTCGTGGGCGACCCTAGACAAGAGACAGCGAGAGACAAGACGGGACGCTGCTTCGGCGGGCTATTCCCGAGGAGAGGGTAAGGTGAGAGTGAGTGAGACTTTGGCGGCGCGAAAGCGAGCGAGTGTCGGTGAGGTCGGTGATGGAAGCGAGTGGGTTTTGGCGTGAGGAGGCCAGGCAACGACAGAGGGGAGATGAAGAAGAGAAGAGGAAAAACTGAAGCAGGGCAGCAGGACGGGAAGAAAAGTTGGCAGCAATGTCAAGATGGATGATGATGATGATAAGCTTGGTTGGATCTGCAGGAGCATTGCGACGGGCGAATGCGACCACATTGGAGTGCATACGATACGATACGATACGCAGCTGCACATCAATCACTCTAATTGCACTCACGTATAGCTGTAGTCGTCGGGGTACAGTACTGTACATGCTTGGCACTAGCAAAAGCTGGGTAGCCTTTGTTCAGTCACTGTAACGGCGGGATGATAATGGCAAAGCTAGGTAGGATTCAAACTTTGGGCTCCGGGGGGGGGAGGGGGGATGGGACGGCCGCCCAGCCTTTCACCATCAGCAATTGAGCGAATCTGGTAAATTGGCAAAAAAGGGACTCGGAGATTCGCGCATTGAGTGGGTGTCGGTCTTCCGTGATTCGATGCCAGCAGGCAGACGGTCGTGAGATCATTGCTCATGGCTCAGACTATTACGCGGCGTGAGGAAGGGGGCTTTCGGGAAGGGGGTGGGTTGGACGAGATGGGATTGGATCCCCCCCCAATTTACCGTCTTTTTTGAGGAGGCGAGTCGCTTTGGTAGCTGTCTTTGGTCTGGACGTATCTTGCCATAGGGGATACCGTGCCGAGATACTTGTGCCCAGGAACTGCCGGGGGCCACGGGCAAAAAGATTAGAGACAGGGATGGCGGGGCCTTGTGAACGTGCCAGGCGCGCAAAGGCCGCTAGAGAGAACGCGCCGAGGACAAGGCGGGCGAGTGGGAGTAGGAGTGGGCTTTAAAAGTCATGGTGAGGTGGTGTCGTCGCGGCTCAGGAACGGCGCTGGTTGTACTGTAGTTGCTGCCGAGACCCCTGACTAAAGGAATAAGTAGCGGGAACTGATAGAGAAATACTTGCAACTCTCCACTCCAACAAGTCTCAGCACAGGGTAACCACCTAAGACGCCACACGACAGCCCGTTTCTTTTCGTCCCGCTGCATCAACTGGAGCCCGAGGTGTTAATCAGGAGGAGAAGGAGGAGGGTCCTCATTGTATGCCGATGATCTCAGCCAAAACGGCTGCCTCCAGGGTCCCTCTCAGCTCTCCTGTTTTGGGAGTTGTCCAGCGGCCTGGCCGACAAGAATTTACCATTGCCAGGGTTGCACACAACGGCACATCCACACATGCACCCTTCGCCATCAAACAAAGAGCATAAACCGCAATTAGATGGGCGATTCGTTTCCCCTCTCGAGCGCATGCCATTCTCATTTCCAGCAGGCTTGGTCGGGTTTCCACCCCCTGGACCGCATCAATTGTCCTCATCTCCAACTCTGATTACCGTCGATGGGGGTACTTCATGTGCCGCCCCCAAGCTCCACGGAACATGGCTTGGCCTTTTCCATTTGATATGCTAGCCCCAAGCCCCGAGGGCCGCTGGACCGAAGGTCTCGGACATGAACCAGATGAAGAAACAGAGGGACACACACAAAGGACAAGGAAAGCGTCCGTCTTCTAGACGAGTTCCACGAACCGGTGAAAGAGGAGAAACATTCCCCGTCTACGTTCAACCGTTCCCTCCACCGCCTGCCGTCCGAAACAGCTCCTGGGCCAGCAGAACCCTGGATATGGTGGTCGCTCGCTTCTGTTTGCTCAATTGCCAACTTGCCTCACGGACCAACCGAAAAGATCTTGAAACATGCAGGGCTCGAGATGAGTGCCGAGTTCGACCACCCTCCCCTCACATCAGAACATTGCCGTCAATCTCTTCAAGTTAAGCCACCCTGGCCTTCTTTTCGTTTGCGACAGAAGTGTAATTTGGGGGTGAAGGGCGAGTGGGATGCTGGTGCGCCCGGCTTGGAGGTAATGCAAAGCCTGTGCGACAACGGCCGCTGGAGCTCGTGGATGCAGTTGCAGATGCAGCGCGATGCGCCGCTAGAGGTTGCTCTGCATTAGGAACGTCACCCCGACGTTGCGCACGGCGACGAGCAGCCAACGGCCGGACGCTGGCGGCGGCTGCGCGCTATCTCGACCGAATACTTTGCAAGCTCGATGAGGAGGGGGACGGAAGCCAGTGCTAAGGTAGCCAGAGATTGGTGGGGAGAGCGAAGAGGAGGCTACACTAGCGCAAAGGCAAGAGAGTCGGCGGCAGTTTCGTGTGGCATCCGTGCTTCGCCATTTGACTGGCCAACGTTTCTTGAATTTTCTTTTTATTTCTTTTTCTTCCCCCTGTGCAGCTTCCTCTACGCTGTTGCTGCTGTTTTGAATCGTTCGGTCCCGGGCATTTGCGATTTCGCGACATGGGTTTAGTTGCCACATTTCTTAACCGCTTAAGGCCTAGCGCGCGACGTCCCAACTGATAGTCTTGTTTGTGTCAGGACTTTTCAGCTGGCAATTGCCTGCTGAGGAAGCAACCTGGAAGCTGGCAGCGGATTCCGCCCGCGTGGGCGACCGAATAAATCCGCGACGGCAAACGGCCAAAACGGCTAAACCCATCCGACGGATCATGCTGAGGCGTCTATTCCTGTCCCTCGAACCCCCGTCTACGACAAGGAATATCGAACTTGGGCGGTTCTCTAGTTGAAATGTCATTCGCGTCATCCCAAGTCTACGTCGTCTTGATGGACGGCTGAGGCTTTGCACCTTCCATTTGCGCACACGTTCGAATGCCTCTCGCTGTCACACATTCGCGACGAACGGTCGTCAGTTGAACCCCTGTCGGATGGGCTTTCGTCCCGCCTTGACCTGGGGCTTTGTCAACTGCCAACAGAAGGCGGTCCCACTCTGTGTGATATCCAGGTAAGCTACGGGATGACCGATACCCAAGTCGGACATTCAACTGTACAAGTCATTATTCATTAGCTTAGGTTCTAATGCCAGTATCGGGAAGATCTCTGGCCCAGAATTCAGTTCTGTCGTTGCAGATCCTCCTCCTTGGTGGTTTTTTTCTTTTTTCTTTTCCTGTTGCGATCGACATAATGCCGCTCATCCTTGCAGTCTGATGCCCTCATCGCTGCACTTAAATCGCCACAGGTCCCAGAGAAGCACATTGACGAATCGAGAAGCTTTTGGAGCTTCTCATATTGAGACAGATTCTACCCCGTGATCGCTTTATGGCATGGGATCTTAGGCGTCTGGCTAGCATCATCTAGAGAGTTCGATTGCTGGGGCGACTATCGCTGGTCCCCTAAGCCTCTCACCAGCTTCACAGCAGCACCATGACTCCGTCTTGAAACGGAAAGCAGCGTCTACACCCTGGACTTGCCATCTCGAAAACTCGAGAACGGCCAACGACGTGCGGTGCAATTTGGGTGTGGCTTAAGCTTCAATTCGCCCCACATGGTGCCACTGCTCATTTGCTGTTCCCATCACCATTGGTTTTCGGCTGGAAACCCCGATATCGTTCTCGAGCTCAAGGACTAACCCGCCTACCCGCCTGTCCGCCTGGCAGCTTTTCTTGGAGTCCTTGGCTATCCACCAGCTGCCGCTATAAGCTTTGTCTCCCATGGGCCGATCGGCTGGTTGCATCCATACGCGCTGTCGATACTGTGTGTGCGCCATCACTGGGCGCGGCCCATGTGAGCCCTCTGGATGTTACATTCACGCAACAAACGTATTTGACAAATCATGGGCGGATGTGACGCGGATACGCGGGGGTTAAAAGAAGCACTGTCTACCTCGCTGTCGAAACACGAAATGGAAGTCTATACATCTAGCTTACGTGTTGCTGCCGGTCGTTGAGTCGCGGGTTGTAGACGGAGCCGCACGCCGCAGCTCGGGCCTAGACAGGGCCGCCGAGTACCGGTCGGTGTCGCAACCCTATCGAACCCCGTTAATCTGCTGCTGTAGAATGTCTCTCGACGATGCAGGGAAAACGGAAGCAGCCGCTTTCGCACCGTCGAAACTGGCCGAGCGCGTCATGCAAGAACGTCCAGCGTCATGGCACGACCGAGCGGGCATCGAAGTATGTAGCTCGATTTTGGCGGGTTAAAACTAGACAGCCCTACAAAGATACCAATTTCGGACGAATAGGCGAGACTTCAACGTTGCGCAACATCACGTGGGGTAGTTGAGACGATGTTCTGCTTGGAAAGAGTGTTCGCAAGCTGTGACGGGTTCGGGATGATGTGACCCTTGTGGGGATTCCCGAGGTCTGTTCGCCGCCCGTTCGCTCGGCCATCCCGACATATCTGCTTGACCCCGGAACAGGCGTTGTCACGAACAGCCTCGTCTAGGTTGCACTGAAGCGGCGTGGGTTTGCTAGAAGAAGACAAACCCAATGCGATACATTTGGCTATGTCGCGCCTCTGTTAGAGACGGTGTTAAGAAAGCCAAATTAATCTTCGGCTTAGACACAGCATCGGCATTTCTGTCATTCCAGGCGCTTAGACTGAAGCAAGAGTAGCTTCACAAGAGCTTTAGCAGGGGACTATTCTTCACTGCCCTATAGCTCTGCCCCAGACTCAACACTCAATATAATGTTTTCGTACTTGGGCAAGTACGAAAGTATCGAGCAAACGACGCTCAAATGCAATACTGGCGAAAAAACCCGAACCGAAGGCGGTGTGTTGGACTCGCGCCTCCAAGCCACCATCGAGCCATGGAAAGCCAAACTTCACCAGGCGACAAGTCTTGGAAGCCAGCAGAGAGCGAACTATCGGCGTGCTCTCATGCACTGCTGATCCTTCATCTCCACCTTGTCACAGTGTACATGTACATATGTAATAGACACCAACCTTTTGCCAGTAACAGCCGCAGACGATTGGCGCAGCCTGACATGTCCGACATCTCGTTTCCCGTTATGCATGCCGTCAAACATGGTATTCTCTCCCGCTGACAGGCACGGCGCGTCATTACGACGCGGCCGCTCGTGGCTGATCGGAGACCGTTCTCGCCCACCTCGTGGAACCCAGCCTGGTGCTTGCTAAGAATAAATCGGCAGCCGAATCACACAAAAAACACAAAAGACTTCCAGCAACCGAGCGTTGGTCTTCCCTCGTAGGCATGTGTGACGGTCTCTTGTGCGGATGCGAACAGCATTCTCTGATGGCCATTCTTCCAAGGACGAACCAGCCTCCCCCCATGGCCGGACGGGAACTTGGTGACACCGTCGAACGGGTGCGCCTGTCCTCCCCCGCGTCGGGGGGACATGCGTGGAGGGAGCGACATGATAAGCTGCCAGAGCTGTTCGGCCCGCCACGGCCGCAGTCGCCTCCTGCACGGCCTCTCGGGTCATGTTACCCAGGTTACCAGCCAACGTCCACTTACATCACCTATCAGAGAGCTTCCGCTGACCCCCATTCTAAGCTTGAGTGGCTGACGGGGAACCATTCACACAAAGTGGCAACAAACGCGAGGGCGACAATGACTGCCCTCAGAAAGCCAATTGCGGCATGTTTCAAAACGCCTGCAGGAGCTTCACACCCTTATCGGCCGATGTGCGGCCCGGCATGTGCAGCTTGACGCGGCGCACTCGTGGCTTCGCTGCTCGAGTATCCATGAGCTCAAGAATCATGACGGAAGTGTATGTGAACCATAACTAATGTGGGTATCTCTATTGCAGTGAATCCAATGCTGAACTAGACAACTTTTTCGGCTCATGGACTCGTCATTCTACCTCACTCCACGCATGTGCGTGCGTGTTGTTCAAGCACCCGACGATGTGTCGGTGTCGAGCTTGTGAGCCTCCAACATCAATGCCTTGTATCTGCCCTGCAGGACTTCTTTCGGCAGAAGATGCAGAATCTCGTTCCGTAGCCGCTTCTTGTCGAACGGCAGCTTCTCTAGCTTGATAGCTTCCAGGATGTAACTCACCACCGTGTTCGTCTGCAGCGGCGGGTCCCGCAGGATCTTGGCGATGGCGTCGGGCGTAAGATCCGCGTTGTTCATCCAGATGTAGTACGACCGCACAGCGGACGGCGTGGCGCGGAGGGTCTTGATGGTGGCGCGGTAGCTGGCCAACTGTTCGTCAGCAGCAACTACTCTTGGGTCCTTCTGGCGTTGCTTGGGATAGACAGCCGGTGCGGCCCTGATGCTTTCGGCAATCGATTGCCCTCCACCTTCGGGCTCGATTTCGAGACTCTCCTTGATGGCTTCGACATGCTTGGTTGACAGAGCTGCAGTTGTGCCGCGGTCATCGGAATCAACAGCCTCAGCACTATCATCTGCTGCCGCTATAAACTGTCCATCCGCAAGCCGGATCGGTAGGTTGAGCTCGGCATCGTACGGCCGTGGTGGAGTGGGGTCGAGGCTCTCACGTTTCTCCTCGAGGACGTGGTACAACTGGAAGCCGGCATATGCATCCGAGGCAGAGTCTAGATGGAGTTAGCAAGAGACAGACTTCGAACAACCTCTACAGTAACACTCACACATGAGCTGGCTCATGTTCAAGGGCTGCGACCAGTCACTCGACCGGACGTCGGTCCCCTTGAACATGGGTAGGCCAAGGTGTTCCTGGACCAGTGAGGCCAGAGTCACCAGCCTCTTGTTGATTAGGTCCACCCGTCCATTCGCAGAGTATTTGACGAGTTTGTACAAATGACTAAGCTCGAAGATGCCTTTTGTGTCGACACCCAGGTGGGTCCGCATCCGCGTGCAATCTCCTTTAATAGCCACACCGACCTTTCTCACGTTGGCGTTTTCCATGATTTTCCGAAAGGTCGGCGCGACAAAGTCATCGTTGGGAAACAGAGCGACGTGGAAGAGGGCAATTCGGCTCTCATTGGCGATCTGGATCAGAGAGACGTTCTTCTTTGGGCCTGAATCCTTCCTGGCCTCTGGGAACCATTCGAGATCAAGCCCGAGCACCTTGTCGTCCACGAAGTACTGACACACCCTTTCCATTGTGTGCTTGCTCTTGCAGTAGTGGACTTTGACCTTTTTCTCACCCCCATCCTCAAAGGGGTCTCGGTAGAGTGTGTATGACCAGAACGACTTCGCAGTATCCTTCTCCGCGCTCTGGGCTTCGCGGAAATCCTTGACGGAGACTTTGAAGTCCAAGCTCGTGAGCGGAGGCTCTGCCGGCTCGGTGTTCTCCTTGGCGACGACTACACCTTCATCCTCCTTCGCGACACCATTCACGTCTGGTATTGGTGGGTGGTTGATGGGTATTGTGTCCAATACGGGTTGGTACTCCGGGGCCGTAGAGAAAGGTACGTCGTCGTCTGAGTCCCCAGACTCGTGATCCGGTTTCGCTGCTGCATTGGTCTGGCCGGCGGCCGGCGGTGTTGTATGTAGGAAACGTAGCATGTCAAATCGCGGGTGCGACGTCTCATCTTGCCTCGCCGGGGCGAACGTGATGCCATGGCCGGGATTCCAAAGTTTGCCGTAGGAGGAGGGATACATGGTCGATTTGCAGCGTCTATAATTCATGAGCCGCGTTAGTTAAACGCGAAGAAGAAATTGGGCAGGGGAGCAACGCACATTTGAACAAGCGGCTGCGGTAATAAACGGAATTGATATAGAGTAGAGCTGCTAAATCTAGAAACTTTCATCACCGCCGCTCGCGAGTACCGAAAAGACAGTAAGGCGCCATGTTTGCCACCGGGCATTGGCGCGACGAGTGAAGAACGGGGATTCTTCAGGCAGACGCGTCGTGTAAATGATGGAGGGGTTCAATTAAAGTAAACCTGTGAGTGATTCGTGACGCGAAGGGGGAAGCTCGAGCGGTAACATTGCTTAGTCATCTAAAGGTGGTCGCGCAGTCACCTGACGTCGCTCCTACGTTCACCCCTCTGGTTCAGGCGCACGGCGTCCATCATCCTAAGCTTCGAGAACGAATTGGCCGCCGACAAGAATCTCTGTGTTGAGACCATTATCGACGCTTTTGACGAATTTAATCCCTGCGAAATCTCAAGAGGGAACCCTTAGAGTGAAACCGTCACAAACCTGTTCCAAAAGACAAAATCTGAACGAAAAAATGGCGTCACAACTCCTCCCTCTGGGTGAGTAGGCAAGCCCATATGTCCACTGTGCAGAAGCTAACCAGCTCAGAACTCATCGACAAGTGCGTTGGATCGAGAATTTGGGTTGTCATGAAGGGCGACAAGGGTATGGTGACCTCATCCAGGCTCATGCGGATCTGGTAACTAACCTAGTGGGACGGACAGAGTTCAGCGGCACGCTCCTCGGGTTCGATGACTACGTCAGTGAGTAAATTCCACATTCTAGCCCATCGTCTAATGGAAAGGTGATTGACGGGCTCGAAGACATGGTACTGGAGGATGTTACAGAATTGTAGGTGGTCCCTCTACGTGAGATGGAGATACCCCTGCTAACCCCAGGCCAGCGACTACTCAGGAAACCACACGAAGCTGCCTAAGATCCTTCTGAACGGCAACAACATCTGCATGGTATGGTTCCCGTATCTCTTGTTTCTTGGCTTTACGGCACTGACAGAGACCAGCTTATTCCTGGAGGAGAGGGACCGGTGAACGCATAAGGCACATCTGGGCAAGGAACGGCATTGGGGCAGGACAAATCTTCGGCTAGTAGGAACGCCACAGGCATCATGTGTGAATCCTACGAAGAACAGGGTCTGTAGAGCAGGAAAATTCCGAGCGGAATGCGGCACGAGAGCCGGCTCCGGGTGGCCCCAGCAGTCAGAGCATATGTCATGAAGCAAAACCACGAGGGACTGGGCATAACCCATCACAAATGCCATGAAGGAGGCCCCGGGGCACCGTGTAGTCAACACCGTAATGATCAGCCTCTTCTCATTTGAGAGCTATCTTCCGTGGTCCCAGGGACCGGGAGAAAAATCACGAACGCGAAAACCAGTTGTGACGATTTTGCTCATGCCAACTTTTGGTATCAGACCGTTATTCCTTAATGACCATGTCCGCCCCAAACGCCGAAAAAGAAAGGTCCAACGAGTCGTAAACTCATCCATGTTTCGAAACCATGCCTCGATTTACTGGCCCTGCTGGTTGGAGCGGCCCGCTTCGACCATGCGGCGAAGCTCGAACTCACGAGTGAACTCGCGACTCAGGTGGGACAGGTCCTGCATCAGCTTCTTGATGACTTGGACAAGGGCCTCCTTGGCGGTGATCGAACCATCAGTCTGGACACGGATGAACATCTCCGGGACGTTAGGATGACTGACTGTAGGAAATAGTCAGTATGTGTGATCCCGAAGGAGATTGTGCGACGTACTCTTGTAGCCCGCCATGAGGACATTCTTGTGCATCTTCAGGTGCTCGGACAGGAGGTTGCCAAGGGTGTGGTCCTCCTTCTTAATGACGAAATCGGAAGTGTTGGACATGCCTATGTGCTGGTCAGTCCATCCGAGGACATTTATCACGGCAACAGCGTAAGACACGTACCAGAGAAGACCTTCTCCTCAATCTTCTTCTCGCCATCAGCGAGCAAGAAGAGCTCGAAGCTGGGCATGTGTTAGCTTCAGTGTCTTTCGATTTTCCCCCCTTCCAGACTAGACAGTTTCGCACGGGATAAGTGTGGCCTCTGGATGACGAGACATAGCGCTTTGGTGTTTATGGAAGGCAGTAGGTTTGGGTTGGTATGGTGATTGCAGAATTTGTAGGAGGGCACAGATCTGATGAGAAAATTTCAAGAGAGGACCAGACAGAGAAAAAGAAAGACAAGAAGCAGGCAAGTACCCGGTCTGGAAGGCTCGAGGGCGCAAGATCACGAAGCCATCGAGAGCCAGCGGCTAGCTCCACGAGCAGCCCGATGTGTGCCTCACAAGGTCAAGCCGCAGCGGCTTAGCAGTCCTCATGTCTTGGCCTGCCGGGCTACGTATGCTCCCAGTATTTCACAGTTTTCATGATATTCTCATAGACTTACCGGTCGGGGGCGTTCATCTTGGCGAGAAAGAATGTGGAACGGCGAGGTCAAGCGAGTGATGTTGGAGGATGGAGGTGAAGAAGATGCGCGGTCTGAAACTATTGCAGTGCCAAAGACCAAGGTGATCCCTAGAGATTTGTAAGCATATGTTTGCATCTTAATTATTTCGGGAGCTCACCGTCTTGTTGTTGTGACTTTTTGTAAAGCGGCGTCAAAGGATGAGAGATGGTTGATGAGTGAAGTAGGCGGCGGGTTGAGAGTGCTCGAGGTCAATGAGAGTGGATGGACGGTGGAAGTCGTGGTGGGTCCACCAGGTGAAGATGGGTGAGCTGCGCCACACATTACATATGTGGCGGTGCACTCAAATGCACCATGCCAACCAGCTACAGAGAGATACCAAGTCCATTAATCACCAGCCTTTGGTTATTCACAAATCATCTCTGCTCAGCACGCTCTTATGAAAGGGTAGCATGTTATTGCTAAGTCAGAATCTTTGCTACGTATACACATACAGAACTATAAACGTGGCGATGAGCCGTCTGTTCTTCAGTCTATTTACAAGCCCATGCTCATTGATGACCGACTGATGCTGTCGAAACCCCTTGAAAGACTGGAAAGAAAGAAAAAAACCCGCTGGAATCCATGCAATGACTACCCAACGCTTTTCAGACAGCACTTGAAATCATGAGAAAATTGGTGTGCGCTTATGCCACAACCTCCTAACCAGGTTAGTGCCCCTGCGGTCGCAGTATGCTGGAGGGGCGGGCTCGCTGGAACCGCCAGCCCAGCTGTAGACGGTCAAAGTGGTTGTGTATGCCATGGCAACGAAACCAAAGACGCAGAGTACAAGATCGGAAATCTTCCAAAGTTTGTTCTTTGCGACCGCCTTGTAGTGGAGCAGGGGCTGTTTGCTGGTTAGCGACGTCATCTACTATTGAGATATCGTCTAAAGGTGAACTTACAGGATAGATGTAGACGAGTGGGATGCATGCAAAGTTGCCAACGAGGGCAACAAACTTGTCCAGATCATCTGCGCCACCCCACGCAATGACTGCGCAGAGAATAACGAAGAAGAAACGGTACAGGTTCTTCTGCCACTTGATGTAAGGGTTGTACTTTCCGCTCTTTGTAAACAGAGCATTCTCGGTAATCTTAATGGCGGGGAAGAGCTGCAGCGGGATCGACAACATGATGGCAATGGAGTAGAGGAACTGGACGCTGTTGACCATCTTGTTGTCCTGAGGCATGTTGAGTAACACAACAGTCTCCGTCTTGGATCCGTATGCGGCGTAAGAGATCGCACCCATACCGATGAAGATAACCGAGATGATGATCATGACCGCCAGCATGACCCGAGGGAACTTCTTGGGATCCTTCATCGACTCCTGGATAGGAATGATGAGACCAATTCCTTCAAAGGTGAAGATGGCAGTGCCTATGAATAAGGTCCAGTCGTTGCGGTTAAACATGATGATGTCGGCCAAGCCATTGGTGCTCAGGGTCAGGATGTCGTAGTACAGCAAATAAGCCAGTCCGAGTAGAATGAAGGCGTCCGCAATCAGAGCAGTGAAACTCAGCTTCTCAATGTCTCGCAGAAGAGAGAAGGGCAGGAAGACAAGGACCTGCAAGAGGATCAACCACTTGACGGGGACGTTCGTTTTGCAGTCAGATACCGCCAAGATGACGGCCTGCAGATTTTCTGACGTAAAAACCATGTACGCAGCGACAAATCCGATCTGACTTATGACGATAGACGTGAGAATGGTGCCCCTCATCCATTTGCCGTAGAGGATGCCACCAAGGTCACCAAAAGACCCCTCAACCTTGAGACGGGTCGTGACCAAAAGCACGAAGCAGTAGTAGCTCAGTGCAGCCACGCCCAGCAAGACAGCGTTACTGAAGGTCATACCACCATTCAGATAAGCCCGAGGCAGGAAAAGAACTCCAGTACCAACAAAGGACTTGAGCAACAGGAGAGCAGCGCTCATCGGGCTGTTCTTCCCACTTCCACCACGTTGTCTCCGTCTCCTTCGGTGGCGCGACGGCGTCAGCAGCGCACTGTCTTCCATGGGCTCTCGATCGTCTTCGCTATCCTCGTCGCTGTCGTAGTAATCCTCTCCTCCCGAGGAGAAGTATTCGCCAGGCCTGAGCGCCTCGTCGTCCTCCTCCAACTCTTCACCTGCGAAGTGGCCGTATATTGTGAGAAACTCGAGGAAACTGGACGTGAGCAGCCTGGGTTGAGAGCCATCGCTGGCTTCGCCGCGCTCGCCGCCATCTCTCACCGTAGAGGGGCTCCTAGCCGCGCGACGCAAGTAATTACGACGGAAGCCTCCGGGAACCTTGATTGCGTTGATGTCGAGAATGTCAGTCTCGGGATCGGGGCGGGAAATGCTGAAGCTCTTGCTTCGCTGCATCTTGCTTCGAGCTTCAGCCTCTTCGGTCCACTTGTAAATGCCTCGGGTCACGTCTCCGCCTTGTAGCCGCAAACTCGAGAATTCGTCCTCGTTCAAGCCAGTCTCGGTATCGGTGTCCGCTGCCTGCTTGCCTTTGACTCCATCGCGCATGCTAGATTCCTCGGAATTGGCATCCGTAGGCTGGACCAGATGCCTCTTGACTACTTCTGGGTCTTCGTAGGCACCGGCGCTGGCGTTACGCGAGCGGGAGTCGAAGGAGCCGTAGTTGGTCATGGGAGTGCTCGAGAGCTGAGCGCCAGCCGCAGCAGGAGATAGAGGTCTTGCCGGAGGAGGGGTTGCAGAGCGCACCGGAGGCGTGCCGTGTCTCGGGGGCGAGGCTCCTAGAGAGTTGGACAGCGCTGCAGCCAGAGCCGAGACACCGGGGCCTTGAACACTTGAAGGAGCAGCACCAGCCAGTGGTGCAAGGCTGGCCGTTTCGCTGTTGTCGCCTAGCCTGCTCGATCCCGGGCCGACGAAGCGACCTGTCTGCGGAGTGCCATATTGCTGAGATGGAACCGGCGATGCCAGTCGAGCGGTGGCGTCTGCTCGGGGAAGAGAGCCAAATTGCCGAGAGGGCGAGTCGGCTCTAGGGATGCTGAGAGGGTCTCTCGAAGGAGATGCCATGATACTGTTTGGTGAAGCTGTTCGAGGACTATCGGGTTTCGGTCTGGGGAATATCGAGGAGCATCCAAGCACACCGTCGCAGGCTCCGATCTGGATCAACAACAGACAACAAAAGTTAGCGACGTGTCATGGGAGACAGCAGATGAGACGGCACCGACAGAGGAACGGGAGCTTGAAGATGGGGAGAGGTGGCGACAGTTGAAGTACGGAGGGTAGTTACCTGAGATCAGTTGTAAGACAGCTGACGAGATCAATTGCAGCGCACGGCTTGGTGGATGTGCGGTCGAAGCTGTTGTTACTGGGAACCCGTGATAAGGACGCCGCTTCCTATGCGGGTCGGGTGACCTAATCTGGCAGGTATGGAGGGTCTGTGGCTCACACTGATAGCGTTGGGTAGGTACACTACATTAATCCCGGGTGCCTATCTGCCCTGACGGTGGATAGGGTGGTGGTGCTACGAAGAGGCTCTGTGGCTCTTGGAGGCGTGCCCAAGGTGCTATGTCTCGTTGCCGAAACCCGCCGGGCCATCGCAGGAGCTCTCGGGCTGTCCAACCTTCCGCCAGGACACCACTCTGGTCTTATGCCTGTGCTATGCGCACCATGCCGCCCTCTGCACCCAAGGTGAGCGAGGTGAGATGATCAGGGTGACCGAACACTCGCAACCCGCCGCGCTGGGCTCTCTACGTGTGGGTTGGACTTCCTCTGCTAGGCTCCCACTCTTCACACCGCGACTTTGACTTGCAAGCACCAGCCACCTTCACACATCTTGAGTACGCTATGGTGACAGAAGAGGCTCTGCTTCCCTGGTTCAGCATACATGGGAGAAAAGATCCTTCAAGACAGGTATCTGCTTGGTGTTTCGGCCATCCTCCGGCGGTTTCCAGGTTTGATTCTCGGGTTTCTCAAACGCGTCGAAAATGGGAGCGGCTCCCCCGATTTCACCTCGAATCGGCCGAGTATTCCGTCTTGTTTGCCAGCGCACACTGTCAAAAAACCCAGGTTCCACCGGATCTTGCCAGCTTAGGTAAGGTACCGGCTGACAATGATGGTAAGCGAACGGATGTCATTGGCTGCATGCATTTTCCGCCTCACTCATCGCACATGCTCCGATGCAGCAGTGAGAGAGAGAGTGGGGGCTAGTGCCAACCGTCCCGGCTGCTTAATCACGCTCAACGCGGTGTGACTCAACCCCCTGCGACGAGCGGTCTTCAGCAGCTTTCGGGGGACCGCGCGCATGTAGCGGTACGTGGAAAACCGTGGCTGGCTTCCTACACCCCGTGCACTCAAAGCACCCTTCGCCTCTGGCATTGAAACCCTCATCGAGTCATGGACCGAGGACATTTAGCAGTCCCATGCCAGATAAGCCACGCCACGCCACGCACCCACGACTGCCACGGTAACACCAGCCAATATCGTCGATCTACCTGAAATCTCCAGCTTGCTCCTGTCATGCGCTTGAGTCAAACGACAGGTTCCCCTTTCTTATTTTAGAGCAGCAACCTGGCCTTGCCAGCATCGGATGGAATGTCGAACCAGATTCACGACGTTTGAGACTTCTTCGCGTTGGTCAGTGATGCCCGACTTGCGGGACACCGGCATGAAGCGTCCGCCGGACAAACTCAATAAACGCTGCCATCCAAAATCACATTCTGATTCCGCGGAGTCTGTTGACACAAGGTAGCGAACCCACCGCCATCACCAACCATCAACCACCACCACCACCACCACCACCAATCATGTACTGGCTACCATGCTCGATCTGCCGTTCGCTGCCAGATGACGTCGATCTGGCTTCCTCCTTCGTGCTCGTCTTCTGCATCTCGCTGCATTTTTTGAATCTGGTGCTTGGTAGTGTGAGTGGACCAGCAAAAACGCGGCGCGACCGGTTGGGGCATATCGCAGCTTTCCAATCGGCACGCGGGGTATTGGAGAGGCTTGCATTGGGTTGCCCCAAATGTCCCTTGTCCGCAGAACCGTGAACCCTGAAAACGAGACGGCAAGAAGGACGCGAGACATGCGCCGGGCCAGTTGGATGCCTGTGCGGCCCGCCATTCGTCGAATAGGCAATCCTCTTACTGGTCGCCGTGATCTACCGCCGCCATCGTTCACCACACTTGGACGCTCTGGGAACTGGTCGAATCAATTCGAAGCCGACTTTGCACACTGTTGTAACTGTGGGCGGGGATTTATACCAAGACTCTCCCGCTTGTTTGCTCTCTTATCCTATCTAATCCTACATCAATGATCGTTCATCTTGTCGACACTTCGCTGTTGTTCGACCACAGGCCCCATAATAAAAAGAGTGAGCGTGAATTCGGCGTTCTCCTTTTCGGGAAGAGAGTTTCGAACCGCTGTACCGACTGAGGAACAACTCCCTTTTCCGCCGAACGCCCTCCGCCATGGGCGGTGACGATGGAAGAGCGAGTCTCTCCGGCATGGAGCAGACCAACAAGAAACCCAAATTGGGAGCTGTGTCGGGCGTTTACATACCCGTCTGCCTCAACATCTTCAGCATTCTCATGTTTCTCCGTTTCGGCTGGATTCTTGGCCAAGTTGGGCTCCTGGGCATGCTTGGTTCGTCGGATAATAGCACAGACGCCCTTCGCCGTCTCATCGCACACTAACGCAACATCTAGGGTTACTGGTCACGGCCTACGTTGTAGACTTTTTGACGACTCTCTCGTTGTCTGCTATAGCTTCAAACGGCGAGGTCAAGGGTGGGGGTGCCTACTATGTCATCTCAAGGTCTCTCGGCCCCGAGTTTGGCGGTTCCATTGGAGTGCTGTTCTATCTCGCTCAAGTTCTCAATACTGCTCTCAATGTTGTTGGTCTGATTGACTGCATCAAATTGAATGTTGGAGAGTCCTTTCCCCAAGGATATTGGACTACCTTCGTTCTCCAGACTTTGGCCTTGCTGCTCTGCGCTGGATTGTGCCTAGCTGGGAGCGGCATATTTGCCAAGGCCAGCAATGCGCTGCTTGTCATCCTCACACTTGCCATCGTCAGCATTCCAATATCTGCCGCCTTCAAGTCCCCCTTCCACGATGAAGAGCTCGGCGTACGCTTCACTGGCTTCAGTGTCGAAACGTTGGTGGACAACTTTGCCCCTCACACAAAAAGCGAGTCGTATAAGGGACTTGAGACTTTTCGAGAGGTCTTTGCCATATTGTTCCCCGCAACGTCGGGAATATTCGCAGGGGCTTCAATGTCAGGAGACCTGCATAACCCCAGCAAAGATATCCCGAAAGGGACTCTCTGGGCAATGATGACTACATTCATTGCGTACCTGGTTGTAGTCTTCTCCATGGCTGCCACCACAACGCATGCCTCGTTTCTCAACAACACCAACATCATCTCCGTCACCAGCCTGTCAATGCCGTTGATTCTTGCTGGAGAATGCGCCGTCACCTTCTTCTCTGCTGTAATGGGACTGATAGGGGCTGCCAAACTCATGCAGGCATTGGCTAGGGATAAGTTGCTTCCGGGCCTGTTGCCCTTTTCCCGGGGAACAAAGAGGAACGACGAACCAATCCAGGCCATTCTCTTGACCTATGCTCTTGCTCAAGTTGCCATGTTCGCCAATCTAAACCAAATCGCAACTCTGATTTCTATGGGATATCAGGTAAGTTGTCGTCCCCCCCCCCCATCGAGCTGAACTATGGAGAAGCTAACGACATTCAGATGACCTTTTTTGTCATGAATCTGGCCTGCTTTCTACTCAAGATAGGATCAGCTCCCAACTTTAGGCCTGCTTTCAAGTTCTTTAGTTGGGAGACAGCCTTCGCGGGAAGTATAATGTCCGCGACGGCCATGTTCTTCATCGACCAAACCTACGCGGCTACTGCAGTCTGTCTGCTTGTCTTCCTCTTCTCTCTGATCCACTACCTCAGCCCGCCGAAGCGATGGGGCGATGTTTCACAGAACCTAATTTACCATCAAGTGAGAAAGTATCTCTTGCGGCTACGACCCGAACACATCAAATTCTGGAGGCCGCAGATCATCCTACTCGTTAACAATCCGAGGAGCCAAACCCGGTTGATACAGTTTTGCAACTCCGTTAAAAAGGGCGGTCTTTACATACTCGGCCATGTCATTGTGACGGACGACTTCAACAGCGGCGTTCACGAAGCCAGGCTCCAACAGGCGGCGTGGACCAAATACATCTCGGAATTCTCTCGCATCAAGGCTTTCGTGCAATTGACAATGTCTCCGAGCATCACCTGGGGCATCCGAAATTTGATTCTGTCAGCTGGGTTGGGAGGTATGCGGCCAAACATTGCCGTTATGGGATTCTACAACATGGATGAGCTCCGAGACTCACGTCCATCGCTTCAGGTCCCCAAGCCTCCGAGCACGACCACTCCCGACGCTCACCGTCCACCAAAGGTCAAGGAAAGACCTATGCGTAGGAGACGGGGTGACACGTCGGCGCGTCTGATGGATGGATACCTTCCTACAGATGTCATCAAGACCGAGGGTTTGATGAGCGTGACCAGCTACATGACCATTTTAGAAGACCTTGCTTTGAGGTACAAGATGAATGTCGCAATCGGAAAGGGCTTTGAAAAATTGGAAACCCCGCGTAAGGACAAGACCAACATGAAAAGACACATTGATCTTTGGCCGATTCAGATGTCGGCGGAGGTCCTGTCAGATGGGAAAAGCGTACTTACTACCAACTTTGATACATGTACGGCAATCCATTGACTATACCAGGAAGATGCTAATGCAATCGCAGATACTTTGATTCTCCAGCTTGGATACATCCTCCACAGTGTTCCCACATGGCACCAGGTCTACAACATTCGAGTCATGGTGTTCGTAGAATATGAGAGCGAGGTCGAAGAAGAGAGGGCGCGTGTCAAGGCGTTGCTTGACAAGCTGAGGATTGAGGCCGAGGTCGTAGTCTTTTGGCTGGCTGCTGGGCATTTGAATACCTACGAGCTGATTATCAACGGACAATCAAATGACATCGAGTCTCAAATCATGGTACACGACATCCTCAAAGACGAAGAGTGGTGGGATGATCTCCAGAGATTCCGAGGCCGGGAGCCAAATGTGGGTTCAACCGAGGAGCTCACGTCTTTCGCAAACATCATCGAGTCCACGGCAGGACGTCCTGGAGTTTTCAACCCGCATGTGCCATTAGAGGATATTGAAAGTGGACGACGGCCAAGCCTGGTACACTTCGGAGAGATACCCAGAAAATCGACGGTATCCAACCTCTCGCGGCTTGGCGTCAGCGTTGGCATTCACACGTCTCACTTGGGAGATGAGGTCTTTGAAGAAGAGTCCAGCTCCGATGTCGAAGTCAGCGAGCAGGAGCAGCAGCCGTCGTGCCTGGATTCCGATTCCGAATTTGACGACGGCGACAGTGATTACAGTGAGGACGAAATACCTGATGTCGAAGCTCCACGACTTCCGTTGTTGGTCGGACGGGGGCGGAGACGAAGCCAGAGCGACGATTTGCTTAAGAGCCCGCCCAGACAGCGACGTGGTGTGTCCAGTAAGAGCGCTGCACCGGCGACCAACTACGGAACTATGGTATCGCAAGCAAGGGCTGAAGGACAGTCAGGGTCAAGCCACGTAGGGCTTGCCGACAACGTCTCGGCACCTCCTACTCCGCTCGAACAGCCTGTGCTGGACCGCAACATTACTGCACGCTCTCTGGGCGGATTTCGATCAGCAGGCGTGAATACATACTCGGATGTGACTCAAGGAAGCATCTCTGGATACGCAACCCCTGCAAGGCCAACTCTCTCTCGCCAGTCGTCTGCAGTGCGCTTCTCCAGTCGGCCGCTGCCAGAGACAAGGACTGATGTCGAAGGGACCTCTGGACCAACAATCATGTTCGCAGACACTACAGAAGAAGAGACGCCGAGAGCGGAACAACCCGCATTCTCACGACAATCCTCTTCAGGGCGATTTTCCAGCCGACCCGTACCCGAGATGAAGGTAACCGCGGCTGACGAGCCCGAACTCGCCAGTACGTTTGCGGAACCTTCGTGCAGATCACGTAAAGCTTCCGTCGCATCTACCACAGACCCTGGCTATGTTCACATGGACATGGCGGAGCTTGTGGGACGTTACAGACTAGACTCGAGGGCTGACGGCAACGGCGAGGGCTCCCCTTACTCCACGCAAGGTATTGCACTGTCGTTCAATGATTTGCCGTCTCGGGCGCAGCATGTCATTCTCAACGAGCTCATGCGGCAGAACAGTAAGAACACGGCAGTGTTGTTTACAACATTACCCGTGCCTACCGAGGGGACCTGCCAGGATGAGCAGGCAAGCGTGCAGTACCTATCGAACATTGAGGTTCTGTGCCACGAGCTCCCACCAGTCATGTTGGTCCTGAGTAACAACATGACTGTCACGGTTGGGCTCTAGCCGTAGTGGGGAAATGTCTTGAAACCTGCGAGGGATAAACATGGTGAAATCAGGCTACGCGGGGGTGGTTCATACTTTGGCGTTTAGTTTTTTTGTCGAGCATCGGCTTGGGACGGGGATCATCATCCGGACAAAGGAATGGGGTCGTAAACTTTGCTGAAGGTGCCACATTCCTCAGTGTCTTTGGCCGAAATGAGAAGCTATTCGGCCATGCATTCTTTGTCTCCGTCAGCGGCCGGACCATGATGGCTTTCGCCTGCAGCCTTTACAAAGAGTTGCCCTCGACGGTGCATACGCAGCTCGAACCTTCGCCATCCAGGTTTTTGCCTTCACAGGAGGAGTTTATCCGTGACCCTTTGGAGCCATGGACATTAAACACGCGGCCCCGTCGGCGCTGCCCTCCTCGTGGACAATCCCGCAAACAGTTAACATGAATGACCACGGGAGAAAGTCATCCTGGACCACGCAGTTGTCGCCGTACCTGCGGGGCCTAAAGATAAAGAACCTCATGCAGTCTCCGAAATCTCCGGAATCACCAAAGTCGCCAAAGTCGCCGAGGAACCTCCTCGAGGAGGACTCGGGCTTCCGGATCATTCACACGCCGGACAGACCGGAACGGCCAATCTCAAGGACAGCGATCCCGAACGACGAACAATGCATGGAATTTCTCATGTCGCTGCAGAGGCAGGAGGAACATAAACGAGTCGGTATCAAGACCGGTCTCAAGATGTTGCCATACCCTGAGGGAGAGGGGACAGAAGGCCGCAGGTACCTCGGGAGTGTGAGGGTCGAAAGTGTACATTTCGAGGAGGCACAGCTCGCCAGAACAAACTCATCTGGCCCAGCCAGAATGGTGGAAGTCGGCAGAAGCTCGACCAAATCGACGCTGGCGACGCCCAGCGTCAGCGACGCCGAGGAAGATGACGACGAGTCAATCGAGGAGCCCAGAGCGTCGCTTCACGCGGCCCCTCTCTCTCCACCACCTACTTTGTCCCGCAATCAAATATTTCTGGAGGTTCATACGCCAAGGGCCAACACCTCCCGCTGGTCTGATACCAGCATCGAGTCTCTGTTTTCCTCAAAAGAGCACGATTCCCCTTGTCCCCAGCGGGGAACCCTTCGCTCATCAGCCGAGGCATCATCGCCCACCGTCTTTGGCGATGACTCGGTCGAGCCTTATACATCGCCGCTGGTGACGCCGGTGAAGGACCGGCCCGCAACGCCCTTCACAGACCCCCGTCTCCGGGCCGTGTCCGACCCGACAACTCCTCCGCCATCGGACCACGTCGCTGGCCTGATACACGTCAGTCCGGTGCAGCTGCCGCGGAAGTACTCATGGCGGTCGTCCAGGGATACAGTTCTTAACACTGGAGCTCCGAAATCGAGGTACCAATCTTGGCTACCCGAGGCGCGACCGAAAGCAGAGGTCAGAAAGCCACAGCAGCATGCTGAGCCCGAGGTTTACGGTGACTGGGCGGATTACTATTTCGAGGATGGCAATTTTTGGGACGAGGACTCTGACAGCGACTGCCAAGAGGACGAGACGAGGGTGGAAGGGGACAGTGATGCGGACGATGAACAAAACGAGCTTGAAGCTGAGGAGGAAGGCCAAGGGAAAGAAAAAGAGGAGGACCAAGAAGGCAGGCTCCAAGTCGATGACGAGGTGTACCCGCGGTACGAGAGCTTCATTGAGGATTACAAGAAAAACATCATGAGTATCACGGTTACGGAGGTGTAGGCGCAGGCTCGGGTTCTGTTGGGTTTCGATAGTTTCCTATTTTCGAGGAGTTCACGGGTGGGACGATATCCCATCGCCTTTCACGGGCTTGTTGGCTTTACCTTGTAACATTATTGTATTGTGTCTTTAGGTTGCGACTACCCATCATTCTTATGGATCAATCACTCTGATTCGATTTCACCACCTCGCTCTGATTCCTCTTGGCAGTTCTCCTTGTGGTAGCTGAAGCCGAACCGAGGTGGATGAAGAAGAGACGAGCTTGGGTTCGTTTGAATCTCGACAAAAAGCAATGACACTGAGAAGACGCCATGGATCCGTAGCATGTTGCATCTGAAACATGGCCATCCCGCGTCTGGACAACGAATCCCATCTCTCAGCTTTGGGCAAAATAGCCGAACAAACAGCTGGTGATGTCTTTCCGACGCAATCTTTTCGCAAATATTCCCTTCTATGGCTTTGCCGTCCCTTAATATTTTGATGGTCCAAGGTCGTAACAGCTTGCAGTGATCGTCATTCGCCGAAAGAGCCGCCCCCTTTTGCCTTGGGCTTCTCCTCGTCCTTCCAGTAGGGCGGTCCGTCGATGCCCGGGCGGCAGGCAATGCGGGAGAAGTCGCTGTTCTGGCCGAAGTCGCCGCAGCTGCCAGGACGTTTGCCGTTCTTTATGGCCTCCTGGCATATGTGCCAGCGCTCGAGGGCGACGCGGCACATGTTGTGATCCGGGTTGGCGCAGCACTTTTGGCGCAGCATCTCGTAGTGTTGCTTGCCTGCGGAAGCGACGCCCACCAGTGCGGCAAGGAGGAGGATGTCTTGGAGCGTGGGGATGCGCATCTTGGAGGCTGCTTTAGGGGGTTTGTGATGGGGAAAGTCGTTCTTGAATGATGCCTGGTTTGCTTGAAGTTCGGTGGAAGTCGACGACGAGGTTCAGAAACTAAAGACATAGGAGCTGTAATACTGTTGCTATTATACATTTGACTCAGAGAAGGATTTGGACGGAGAGGTTTTTTTTTTTCGTGGTTCTACCAGTTCGCTGTCTATAACACAACAACCGAGAAGCGGTTCCCGACTTTCAAAGTCCCATGGCCCCGTCAAAGCATACTTGCATGAATACCATAGTCTTCTTTTCAAATAAAAAGATCGTGTATGCAACATGGTTCGAACCACCGTGAAGTTTAGAGCCTGTGTGGTTGACCTCCCCTCCCCATGTGGACCACTTTGGTTGAAGCCATCACTCACGTGAGTCAAGTACGCATATCTGAGCTGTTGTTAAGATAATCCCAGGTTTTCATCCGGCCGGTCTCCCGAGCCGAACCTGCTGCTTTTTGACTTGCTGCTAGTGTTTTGACAGAAAGATGTCGTAAATTTGGAGAGTTGAGCCTTCTCGGCAGTGGCAGTGTTCTCCTCACTTTTAGCTTTAGACGTATGCCACCCCGGCCACATACAAGGAGCTTCAGCGAAGCTTTCGATTCCGCCTTGGATTATTTTGCCCATCAATTGGTCAGTTAATGAATGCGCAGCAGGGCGGCTGAATTATATTTTCAGATACCATAAAAAGTGCTTCAACTGGATTGAAGCACAAGGTTTGGGTCGAAGCCTCGGCCGAGCACCTTCTCGTCAGCATGTGTGGCCCAAGCTTGAAGCTCCCGGGGAGAAAAGAAAAAGCTTCACCGTGTCCCTGGTCACACCCTCGTCCTCTCTTCAACAAGCTTCATCTCATACGCGCTGTCCAAACACCATCCAACCCTTTGACGTACTTACGCGCAATGCCGTGAGTCGGGACCGGAAACCTCCACGAAACAGCACGTGTACCCGCCAGCCGTAGATGCCTCGCCTGCCCCCTTCCCTCATCCGCCGCGCCCATGTCGTCTCCCCACTTGTCGCTACCCTCCTCCCGGCTTGTCGCGACATCCCCTCCGCCGTGACCGAATTCCGCTGGATTAAGTCGCACGTCGCCGGCCTCGGGACGCCGGTGTCTGCGCGGGATGCGGAAGTCCGTGTCGCTCGCCTGTGCGCGAGACGCGGCCGCGGCGTGCCGCTGCAATACGTCCTCGGCTCACAGCCTTTCGGCGCCCTGGATATCAAGTGCCGGCCCGGCGTGCTTGCTCCGCGCGCCGAGACGGAGGCGTATGCGCTGCACCTGGCTGAGATGATCAGATTCGGTCGTCTGCCGGGCTTTCGGGGCAGAGAGCTGCGGATCGTGGACTTTTGCACTGGGACCGGGTGCATAGCGCTTGCTCTGTATGAGGGTCTTACACGATGGGCCGAGAGGCTGAGTGTCACAGGGGTGGATGTCTCCCCAATCGCAGTCAATCTTTCACGGGCGAATCTGCAGCATAATGTCGGCGCTGGCGTGTTGCTACTACCTACGGAGGATAAGAGCATTTCCTTCCGGCTGGCAGACGTCTTTGACGGTGCAGCCGTGGCAACACTACCTCAGTGCGATATTCTGGTATCCAACCCACCATATATCTCACGAAAAGTTTGGTCTTATGGCCACGGACAGATGGGCTACTCTGTACGAAAGTACGAACCAAGACTCGCTTTAGTGCCGGGTGACACGGCGCCTTCATATGATGGATGTGACCATGCCGACGTCTTCTATGCTAGGCTGCTGGACATTGCAGGCTGGCTGCGGCCGAAGGTTATATTGTTCGAAGTGGGAGATCAAGAACAAGCAGTGAGAGTTGCGAGGCTTGTCAGGCGGAATTTGTACACCAGGCAGGCAACCTGCGAGCTGTGGCGGGATTGGCCGGACATGACGCCCGAGGAGAACGAAGCTACTGAGTTGGACATAGATGCAATGAGCATTGCGATCAAGGGGAGTGGGAATGTACGATCCGTGTTTGTGTGTCTGTAAGACGCAGGTGCAAAAAGCGATGATACCCGGATGCCGTGCAAGCAAATGACGATGCTAATTCAGCTTCTAGAAGCACTGGAAGCAGCAGTTCAGAGCATACAAGAAAACAAAACCAATCAACTGGCCATCAACAGCTCAAGCAGGTAGGTCACTTTTGCCAAAAACAAAAGTTTAACTGCCCAGAGGCGGATTCGAACCGCCGTCAACACGGATCGCTGTATAGAAGAACCACAACGTATCATCCTAACCAACTAGACGATCTGGGCCAGCTGTTATTGTTGAGTTTGTGTGGCGGTTAGTGGACTAAGAAGCATGTGTGAATTTTTGCACACTCGATCACTGTAACAATGGCGCTCATACCCTATATCTTATCGACTTTTAGCGGCTTCACAGCGGTTTGGCAGGCCTGAACCGCCCCCGTTGTTCTCCTCGTGTTTTGCTTATCCCGCACTTGAATCTCAAACCCAGGCCAATGAAAGTCCTTTCCTCCGAGGGAAACCTACGAGGAATCGATCTTGATCCCACATGTTTCACTCCAATCAGCCAGAGACATGATGTCTTTGCCTCTTACGGATCAGATGGACCCTGTTGAACCTGTACCCCTGGAATATTGAACTCAGACAACGGGGTCCACACGGAGCATTCCCTGGAGGTGTAAAGTGTGTGAAATTGGTACCATCGAAAGACGCGCTTTGCTCGCCACACGTGTGCTTCACTGGAATTCTGGAACCCAGATATCCGGGTGGTTCCCAAGATGAAGAGTCCCCCTTGCGAGCCACGCAATACTTATGCGTCATCAGGCGGCACGCGTGGCTCGTCATGCTTTCTATAGAGTTGATCGGCAGAACGGCATGGAAAACTGCAGGCTTGGTGACCGGTATGCTGTCGGAAGTTGATCAAGGTTCGTCGCGATTGACGGGCGCTCGCGATCTCTGCTCATGGGATTTCGAGATTCCCATACGGGAGGAGAACTGCCGGTGCATACCACGAATACAATGTTTTCAGTGATTCAGTGGAAGCAAATGTCGTGTCGGAAATCGCGCGAGCAAACTTCCCCCTTCTGTTAATATTCTGAGGAATAGTTGCTACTTTGCGTTTTCTGTCCATTACCAAACAACCTAAGAGTTTGTCGCGGTGGTTGGGGAAGGCCGTAAGATTCCATTTCCAAGATCGAGGTTTTGGCCGACTCAACGTGGCTAAGCAGGCCGAGCACTGTATCTTATCTACCAGATCATCAGCATTATTGCTGAAATGATGCGAGGTTTGATACGTCCGTCCTCTTGCATCATTCTCCTCTCAATGGTTGATTGATTGCAAGCTATGCTATCTAATAGCCACATCGTCAACCCATCCTCGCGGGCGCTGGCGAATCTTGACTCGGGGCTTTCCTTGATTAGGAGAACGAATCCAGTAAGCTCTCACAATACGACTCGGATACATAGCCCGACGGTCTAATTAACCTGTCTGACGCCGTCAACGGCCTGGTGGATGCCGTGTTGGCGGAAGAGATAAGCAATTTCTCCAGGGCTTATGACTTACAAGAAGGTCTAGCAGTCTTACAACTCGGTTCAAGACCAAGACAGACGGAGTGATTAGTCACTCGCTACGGAGGAGTAATAGGTCCAGAAGGTGAAACGCATCTTTCGCAAAACGTGACCACCGTTGACTTATATAACTCCTATGGGGTTTCCGAGACCCTCCTCCTCTGCAACCCACGTAACCTCTGCGGCCCGGCATACCCGCATAATATCCTCGACAAGACTGCAAAGTTCTGCGAGCAGACAAACAGGCATCTCGTATCATATGAGACCTATACCATGTCAACTTTCGATACGTTAGTGGGAAAGAGGAAGACTTGTATCCGTTGACCTCAGTGTTGAGTATCCGAGGCGACTGCACACAGAATATTTGCAGATAACATTCACTGCCTATACAGCACGAGCAAGAAATTGGGTTGCTGTTTACGCACAACAAGCTACTTTGGCGCTTGGCCAGACCGTTAGCTATATTCGCTATGGTGTTGTGTTGCTCGCCTGCATTCTTCAGCTGTATTTTACGGAAAGAGGACGTAGTTGGGAGATGTCTAATCACATATCAAAAAAGGCTTGCATCGCAGCATGCAACCACTAAATTCGGACTGGCTAAAGTACATTGAAAAGAACGACAAAGCCAGTCAAAACCCTGAGGTGAGATTGTGTCGTTGCCTAACGAATGAAGCAAGCGTCTTGCTCAGTCCCGGAGAGGTGAGTAAGGCCAGGAGTCACATAGGTGGCCCATTGATTTTACAGGAACTAACACCCCCGTACTTCTCACTATCGCCCGTTCCAAGCTGCTTCAAAATCTCATACACCGAGAATCATAACCTTGTAGAGCTTGTTGTTTCTCGGCTGGCAGATTTTCTGGATGAGTTGAAGCGCCGGCCGAGACGTGAAACTTCCCTTCTGGATGAGGACGAGCAGAGGAGCAACAGTTTGTATGTTGCAAATACTGACACATGGAAGACATTAATACGGACTTCAGTCGCTCGGTTTCTACTCTGCTACAAATCAGAGTAGATCCGAGGAAAAGACAGAGAGAAAAAAGTATACCTCAGAAAAATCGAGGTCATGAGTGTACAAAATTGCAAAAGTAATTGACCAGCCTGGGGGTCGAACCCAGAATCTCCTGATTACACGAATGAATCGTAGTCAGACGCCTTGCCATTGGGCCAACCGGCCTTTGTTGTGGTAAAATTGTCGTTTTACATATATGTATCATTGCAAATTTTAGGCATCGTTGATCAACTGCAGTGCAAGCCATAGTCCTATCGTAACTAAGTCCCAGTTGCCTTTAATTGGAAATTTCGAATTGCTTCAAGGTACTGGCAGACTTTCCTTGTCACTTTTGGATTAAATTGCAGTTGACCGGCAAATTTCTACAAAATCAAGGAGCTGGCTTCTGTGGATACTAAATATGCACTAAACCGATCCACGCGAATGAACAACTGCTACTCACTCATACTTTGAAGAACACCACTCTTCAAATTTCACATGAGGGAACAAGATGAAAAACTGTCACTAAATCTTTGATGTTCCCGAGATATGTCGTCTCAAAGCCGCCTAAGAAACAATACTCAGTGATGGGCACATTGTTGACCTCTCAAGATGCCGTTTCCTGACAAGTCGGTCGCCCACCTGCTGGGCTCAAATGGTGAGTTCAGCTAGCCTTTCGTGAGAGCTGCATGCGAATATCACTGCCTATCGATTAACTTCCGGCCACAACCAAAACCGATTTTCATCGACTATAGTTACTAACTTCCATTAGGACCCGTTCACGCCGTCACATACTCTGCCTCTCCCGGCACCTACATCCTCACCGGCTCAGCAGACCGCAACATCAGACTCTACAACCCGGCACCGCACGACCAACCCGCACGCTACGGAGCAACCATCACCAACAAGAAACCAGGAACCGCACTGACAGTTTCCGAAGGCCGCCTCATTCAGACATATGCTGCGCACGGCTACGAAGTCCTCGACCTCTCCGTTTCCTCAGACAACGAGCGCTTCGCCTCTGCTGGCGGTGACCGCGCCGTCTTCCTCTGGGACGTGGCGACGGCCACAACGACGCGCCGCTTTGGCGGCAACGTGCACGGCCACACGGCGCGCGTCAACTGCGTTTCCTTCGCTGGCGACGGCGACTCGCTGGTCGTCTCGGCGGGCTTCGACACAAGCGTGCGCGTGTGGGACGCCAAGTCCAACTCGGCCAAGCCCGTGCAAGTCCTCGATGAGGCCAAAGACGCCGTTACGGCGCTCACGGTGCGGGACGCGGAGATCGTGGCGGGTAGCGTAGATGGTAGGGTGAGAAGCTATGATGTGCGCATGGGGCGGTGCGTGACGGATGTTATCGGTGCGAGCGTGACAAGTCTGAAGCTTACGCGTGATGGAAAGGCCATGTTGGTCAGCTCGTTAGACAGCAAGATCCGGTTGATGGACCGGGAGAGCGGGACGTGTCTTAAGACGTATGCAGATGGAGGGTGGAGAAACGAAGAGCTGCGTGTGCAGGCTGTACTAGGCGGCAAGGAGAAGTATGTCATTGCTGGCGACGAGCTCACTGCTGGTACGGGGTCGGCGGGGTTGAACGGCGATGGCAAGATCTGGGCGTGGGATTTGTTGACGGGCAAGTTGGTTACCACGGTGAGGGTACCCTGTCCAGAGGGTTTCGAGCCGAAGAAGAAGATACTGGGCAAAGACGGCAAGGAGAAGGAGAGGAGTAACGTTATCAGCTGCATCGCTTGGAGGGACGATGGATGGGGGGATCAATTCTGCGTCGGTGGCACATCGGGAGTAGCCACTGTTTTTGGTTCACTGTAGGACGATTGATCATGCAAACATCAGGGCACAGCAGATACCGGGAGAAAATTCACGTCGTGAAGACGTCCAGGTTTCTAACAAATCTTCTCAAATCATACAGAGTCAATTTCGTCTCTGACCCGTGATGCTTTACACACGTATGGATGTTCCGCAGACGCCCAACACCATTGTACCCAGATACCTCCTGGAAATTCCGCAATTGGTGCCAACCCAACAAAATTATGTGAACAGCAGCCGTCCCTCACAAATAGGTAGTTCAATCAGTCCATGCCGACATACTTGAACCAGTTCGGGCGGCAATCTTCCTTGTGCAACCAAGCCTCGCCATCGGTAAAGCGGCCGGTCACGCAGCCCTTGCACTTATTTGAGTTAGGGCAGTTGAAGAAAGGAATGTGCTGGTATCCAATATCACGGAACCTGGTGCGTGTTAGTCCTCATACTCTCCCATGCATGCTTAGGTATGACGTACCAATGGATCTTGGACTTATCCTCGAAAAGGCCCAATGCAATGCTGTGAACGGGGGCATCACCCCATCTCTCGTAAAAGAAACCTCCAGCGCGGTCCAGATGTTGGAAGTAGTCCTCATACGCTTGGCTGCGCCAGAAGTCCATGTCGGCAATTTCGAAGTTGCTCCAGAAGTGGCAGGTGGAGTAGCCGTTGGCTTCGGTGTTGTGCTCAGGCCGGCGAGACTTGTCAGTGAGCCAGTCCATCGCGTTGTTCTTATGGAGATGCTCGGGGTGCTGCGCAAGGAACTTGACGGTCTCGGGCCACAGCGTCGGAATTGACTTAGGTGCGTCGTACAGATTGATGGTGAAACCGTACGTCTTGTTGTTGTCCTGCATGTATCTGAAGACGTCGTAGTCGACGTCGCAGAAAAAATGAACCTTGGGCTCAACGCGCCAGTAGTACTTGGTGTGCTCCAAAGCGGGGTGTTTGTAAAACATCCCGCTGTTCCAGCGGCACATCGAGTGATATGAGATCTTGTCGGCGTATTGAATATCATTCTCCTTAAGAATCTTGACGGATTCTTCGTAGAGGTCCTTGTTGATCCATGAAGGCATCTCCCAGTGCTCTTTGGGGATGAGCTCTGCATATAGTGTCAGCGCCAGTACCACGTGAGGGATATCGCAAAAGCTTACCGTATCTACACTCAGCCTTGGTAGCAGCCTGGGTCCTCCTCTTAAACTCGTCGCTGAAAGGGACCTCGTTGAAGAAGGTCCAAGGGTAGTTGAACTTGTGATTCCAGGTCCGCTCGAGGTCTACCATCGACAGTATCATTCCATCCAGCTCCTCGTTCCTGACCAGTGCCAGGAGAGTTGCGTTGATGCGCGCAGAGTCCTTGGCGTCGGGAGCATACTTGTCGGAGGCGTGCGTCAGGATACCTTGAGGCTCTTCGGTAGCTGTGAAGAGGCGCAATGGTTAGCTATCTATGCAAGGGGCTTGAATTATTTACAGGCACAACTCACGATCTAGGTTGGGATCCCGTCCATTGTCGTAGCGCACCGGCTTCTGGCCTATTGGCCTCTCAGGGCCAAAGATCTGATAAAGGAAGAAGCACCAAAGCATCACGGCGGCTAAGGCCAGAGCTCGAACTGGCCGAGCGACCGCCATCTTAGGCGAAGGATCGAATGCGGGCTATCAATCGCTACGAGGTCGACGAAGGGTGTGGTGTCTGCCCGAATTGCAACCCGTCGGGTGATGTCAGATTCGAGGTCTGCGCAAGTGTGGACGGCTAGCGGAAAAGCGAAGACGTCGAAGTCGGGTGGAGGAAAACTCTCGGTCGCGGCTTGTGCCGTCGGGTTTAAGGGTCGTCTTGAGATATGGGAGGGAAACTTAGGTATTGACCAAAGTGGAATGTGACGCGTAAAACTCGAAAAAGGGGCTCGATGGCAATTGTTCTCGGGTCGTTGGCTGGTTGAGGCTGATGTCACCCCATGAAATTTGCCAATTAGCGCGCAGTATGGGAGCATCGAGACCTATGAGCGATTGCTCCAATTTTCCCACCCCTGTACATTAGCGATAAGAAGGGAGGGTGGGCAACCCCCGCAGCCCCTCCACCCGGCTCTCTAATTGCTGCCGCCCACCAATTGTCACAAGCCTCGACGGACGCGTCTTCCGCCATGCGAACAAATTGTAACCATGCGCATGCTCAATGCCCGCCGTCCATGACTTGAGCACCGAAACCACTAGCCAGCGATTTAGCTCTTTCGAAGCACAATGGCGTTTGCTGCGAAGCTCGGCGCCTTGACTGACGAGCTTGTCGAGGTCATCACGTCGACGCCAGACAAGGTGGGAGGCAGTTCATCCCATATCGCATCAACACACGCAATGCGATGCAGCTCGGCCTGTCGCTAACATCATGCACAGAAAATAAGTCGGGAGAGATTCAATGTGTTGCGCGAGTCTTCTCTGCGTAGCTTGAGATATCACAGCTTTTTGCGCACCAACCAATTCGATGTCGAAAACCAGCTCATTGGGCTAGAGGAGCGCTTTCGGGTCCACCATCGCGATGGCCTGGCGGATGCCTTTAGGGAACGTCTTGATGCGCTGTCACAGTTCCGAACAAAGTGGCATCCCGATATCCTACATTTCCTTCTCGACCTAGCCGACCAACCAACCCAAAAGACTCGACTAAGCGATCTAGAACTCCTAAAGGAACTTGAGGAGGACGTCAAACCACCGCTTAGATGGGAGGATATTGCGAAGGAGGATGGCTGGCACAAGGATGCTGACATATGGAAGTCTATCGATTACAGCGATAACTCTGGCAATGAATACGGCGATTCTAAGTCAGAGACATCGAGCGACTCCGACGACACATCCCTTTCAACCCACGACGCCTCGCTTGGCAGGCGACCGGAAGACTTCGAAACTTTCTCCTCCGATGAAACCGCTCTTAAAGAGGTCCAGGAAAGCCAGGCTTGGAGAACAGAAACAAAGACCATGTCTTCAACGCGACAACACAAGGTACCCATTACCGAATTCCAGGCGACAAGAGAGGCCCTGTTCATGCTCCAAGGTCTCCCGACAACCCTATTCCAGAAAGACGGTCTTCCCGATCCAGCGTACCAGATTCTAAGTGTCGCTTGGGACACCTACAAAGCTCTGATCACTTGTTTCGCCGAAAGCGGACGTCAGCTTTTCCTGCTGCGCTTATTCTCGAAGCGGGCGCAGACAGCGCCCCTCTTCCAGGTCTTTCGTGATAACGTTTTGGCTAGCTTGCAGTCGTTTGACAAGAATATCTCGGTTATTCAAGAGCGGCTAACGGTAGCACGGGAAGATACGATTGTCAGTATGGCAGCAATCTTGGAAGAACTCAAACCTCACTTGGAGCCCCTGAGATCTCTATCCGAGATCGTGCGACAGCTCTACGACCCCGCAAATGGCGGAGCGTTTCGCTTCTTGGAGCTCATTTACGACGAGATCGGCATCGCCCAGCTTTCAGGACGAGATACAACGTACGAGTTTCTTGGAAGGATATTCTTCAATTGCTTCCAGGTTTATCTTCGACCAATTCGCCTTTGGATGTCAGAGGGGCAACTTATGCCAGGAGACAAGGTCTTCTTCGTATCGGAATCACCTACACAAGTGCCGCTTCGTCAGGTCTGGCAAGAACAGTTCAAGCTCAGGAGAACGTCAGACGGCGTGCTTCACGCGCCCAGTTTCCTGCAGCCGAGTGTTGGAAAGGTGTTTACCGCCGGGAAGAGCATTGTCGTGCTCAAGCACCTTGGCAAATTCGAGTCGCTTCGCGAGCTTTGGGACGTGCAAGAGCCCCCTCTTACGTTTGACACCATCTGTCCACCCGGATTGGAACTTGCACCCTTTCCCGAGCTTTTTACCTCTTCCTTCAATCTCTGGATGCAAAGCAAATACCATGCAACTTCCGAAACACTTAAACAGGCATTGTTTGACTCTTGCGGGCTACAGGCCAACATTGAAGCATTGCACCAACTCTACTTGATGGCTGACGGAGCAGCGGCGGACGAATTTTGCAAAGGTGTTTTTGCTCGGCTGGACGCCCTGCGTCCCGATTGGTACGATCGATATTCCTTGAGTGGGCTGGCGCAGGAGGCCTTCTCCTTACGCGTCGACACCACCCGGCTATTTGTCACTGTCAGGCTAGAGGGCCAGAAGAAATCGGTTGTAGCTGCTCGCGATCTGATCCGGACAGCCCTGCCAGAGGTTATCTTGCAGTATCGTCTGCCCTGGCCGATTCAACTCGTAGTGACCGAGGACACAATCATCCAATATCAGGCGGTCTTTACACTACAGATGCAAATCAGACGTGCCGTCGGTCTGATCCAGCGGAACCGGATACTGGACGAGCTGGTCTCCCGCAGAGATATCTGGGGCAGCCGAGCGTTGTACTATCTCCTTCGTTCCAAGTTGATGTGGTTTTGTAACTGCATTCAGACCTACCTGGCAACACTGGTACTGGCTCCTTACACGGAAACCTTACGCCAGCGTTTACGACAGGCTTATGACGTGGATGCTATGATCGGTCTCCATGCCACTTTTATGAAGCAGGTTGTCGACGCAGCGTGCCTAGGCAGGAAACTGGTCCCCATTAGGGGTGGCATATTGGACATCGTGGACCTGGCCGCGAAGCTAGAAGATGCTCAGAGCGCTAGTGTCGCCGAGGAGGCAGAGGAAGCACAGGAGCTATCCCGACTTTCCATCATGTCTTCGCCGATGAAAGCGAGCCCCCGCCGGCGGAAACAGGTCGTTTACGCTGGGAACAGTGACGATGACGGTTCGAAGAGCTTCGGAGGCAGGGCCAAAAGGGGAGCAATCAATGCGGGCAAGGGCTACCATGAGTGCCTGCAGGAGATCAAGACGGACTTTGAGAGGCATTTGAGATTTATCTGCGGGGGCCTGCGAGGGGTTGCCAGGGCTTCAAGCGACGAGGCGGCTGTGAAATGGGACCTCCTGGCCGAAATGCTAGAAGTGGGTGTCAAAGAGGGTGTTTGAAGACCTCGCCAAACAGGTAGGGCGTGGCTGGTCGACTCGAGAACTTGGTCTCAAGACCCACAATATCATTAGAGTTCACAGAGTGCCAGGAGAGGATAGGGATCGACATGGAATTCCTTGAATTCCATCCGTCGTTGAGCCGTCCGGGCAACGTCAGGTGTTTTGGCTGCAGATGGATCCTGCAGCAGTTTGAAATTATTGGAATCCTGCAGCGATGATCCGGTCTGCAGGGTGAGCGGTCAGCGACTGTGCGACGATGCTCGGTGAGTGGGATTCACTGTGTCACACGGATGCAAACGGCCACCGACTGGAAAGCGGCAGAGGAGAACCAGCTGTCCTAAAGTTTGACCTACCTTGGCCCCCGCCTCTATTCCATGGTCCATCTGACAGATGAGCACTAGTTTAGATCATTGCCGCTGCTCGAGTGAGCACATACATCTCAAGGGGAAGTGTCCCAAGCGTCTTGGTTCATGATACCTCGTCCGTCGGAGGCACGCTCAAGACGAGGCCGCTCATTCCGGAATGTTCGGGAATCAGGGTAACATCCGTGTTCACGATGCTGCCCAGCGTCTTCCGCTCGTGGTGTTGTGCCAGAATGCAATGAAGCACCATCCATCCCTGTCTGGCAGGGGACGGGGTCAGTGATGCCAACTTTTTTCGTCTCCGGCCAGCCTCGAACTTGGAACGAGCAAGATCGACAGTGGGGCCCCAACTGTTGTGTCTTGAGGCCAAGGATCCAATATCCAACATTTTTCTCGCGCGGGGGTTGCATTCTACATGAGCAAGGCAGTGTCATACGCTTGCGAGACCCGCGGTCTGATTTCCCTCCACTTCGCTCCTCCGAGGAGTCCAGCATCCGTGTCTCATCAGTTCACGGTGGCCGTCGGTGTTTTAAGTTGAGGGTTGCGTTGGTACCCGAGAGTTAGAGAGACTGGGAGAAAGGGGGCCCAACTCGGGAAATCGAAGCTCAACCCAGTCTCGCATCGTTGCGTGTGATCAGCTCTGAAGGCGAAGGGACCTTGGTTCGACACGTGTGGACAGGGAAAGTAGTGGTTGTGGGTTGATGAGGCTCGTCAATCGTCGACGCCAGGGACTTCAAGGGGTCTTCGGAGCTCGGGAGTTGTATTCTAGGCCCAGCAGAATTGGAGCAATTTAGCAGGTTGCCACCAATCGATTGTTAGTATTCCATGAAAATGAAAACTAAGGTGGTTGTTGCCGGATGAAACTGAATCCATGACATTGTCTTTGAAGTTGTCATGATTAAAGTCCTACAATAATACCGCATGCAATACGGTTTCTACGAAACGGAAGGCGGATGGTGGCCGTCAACCGTAATGGCCGGATTATCAGTTTGTCCGGGGACACAATCAGCTACGATCAAAGCTTGAGCCCCATTATTAGTGACATCCACATCCGCCATGATTGCGCAGGTGCTGCCTCAAACTAAAGTTTCGCGACAACCTCGTTTCTTCATCTGCAAGGCTAACGATCTCGACTGCGCCGAGCGGCTTGCGACACCTACGCGCCTTATTTTCCCCACAAGTCTATTTAGAACTTTTGCCGACAAGGCTTCCTCTGTAATCAACACACTCGCCCAGCATGTCCGAACGTAAAGTGCTCCAGAAGTACTACCCCCGGATTTCGATCCTTCCTCTCTCACGCGCAAGCGTGGACCGAAGCAGACCGGCCCCAAGGTCCAGACCGTTCGCATCATGGCACCGTTTTCTATGAAGTGCACAACTTGTGGAGAGGTAAGATCACGAGCGCCTCAAAACCACATACGACAACCCGCGTTCTAACTAGCGATGCAGTATATCTACAAGGGAAGGAAGTTCAACAGCAGAAAGGAAACGAATCAAGCAGAAAAGTACCTCAACATCCAGATCCACCGCTTCCATATCAAATGCACCCGGTGCTCGGCGGAAATCATCTTTAGGACGGACCCCAAGATCGCCGACTACGCCGTGGTCAAGGGCGCCTTGCGCAACATGGAGCCCTGGCGCAACAAGGAGGGCGAGAAGGAGAGCGTCGACGAAAGACTAGACCGGCTGGAGCGCGAGGAGGCCGAGGCCGCGGGCGAGGAGGAGAAGAATGCGATGGCGGATCTAGAAGCCAAGAATGAGGACGCGAGACGGGAAATGGCGGCGGCGGACGCGCTCGATGAGATCCGTCAGCGCAATGCGCGCATTCAGCGGTCGGAAAAGGACGGTGTCGACTTTTCCGAGTACGTTGTGCGGCCTGAGGATGAGGAGAGGGCGAGGTTGGAGAAGGAGGACGAGGAGGCTGCAAAGAGGGCATTTGCTGCTGCGCGGGAGAGGGCTTCTCTCATGGACCTTGGGGAGGAGATTATCGATGATGATGATAATGATGATGTCGAGGGAGGTGTCAATGGTGATGTTGCTGCATCATCCTCATCCTCTTCATCGGCGGTGGCGGCGTCATTAAGGTCCGGGGGCAAGTCGGAGACCGCAGAGGCGAGGGCCGTGAGGGATACCTCAATGATGCCGCCGCCACCGCCTCCCGTCAAACGGGTGGTGAAGAAGAAGAAGGACTATTCTGCGGCGCTTGGCATCAAGAAGAAGCCATCGCTGGTGTAAGAGAGGCGTGGCTGCAGCATTTCTGCGCTATGTCATTGCGTCTCAACGACGGCGCAAGGGATCTAGTTGCGCGTCATCTGCCTCTCGAAAACGAACAGGACTATTCACTCTGGGGCTTATTTGACTTTGGGCATGGCGTTTCGGAAACGGAGGGGGGACATTGGGCACAGACTGCGAGTCAAACAAGGCATTACGGACGGGGCCAGACGGTTTTGTCAGGGTCATTGAGTGTAAACTTTCCAGGGCTAGGATCAACAGACGGTCCAGTCCACACAGACTACGATCATAAAATAGACTTGGGACGTCAAGTCTGGGAAATTCTAGACGTCACACCAACCTTCAGACAGTGAGTTTTCGCTTCTTTCCGTCGCCTTCTAGACGTTCCAATTCGCGTCTGTGCTTTTTTCATTTTCATTTTCAGCAGAGTTCATGGCCCTTTGCCAGCTTGCCCCGCACCGTCGATCCTTCCCTGGGAAATCCAACGCTGTGATCTTTTAGACTTTGACCTTGCGTATGTTTAAATGTTGTTACTGAGCTTATGAACGACCATCCTCGAAGATTCGGTGGGCATGTGAGCTCCTGGCTGGCTGGTTCTCCCGTGAAATGGTACACACAACTCGGGGATTTGGGTGGTGAAGTCGCGCCGATCGTGCGAGGGTAGGAGTGTTTGTCACTGGAATCGCTGGGAAATATGCCGGGGGGATGGATGCATGGGCCACAGCTGTGAACCCGTACCCAGGAGAAACTGTCGATATGGAGAGTTAGTCTGACCAGGAGCGAATGTTTTGACCCGAGCGAACGGTTAGTCTGGGGGGGATCTGGCGTCAATGATGTTGCGATACCGTCATCATAGGTAGAGATGCAGAAGAGTGGAGCGGAGAGTGATGCTGTAGTGTGAGTGGGAAGACCTCGAAGTTGAGCGTTCTCGCATGTTTATTTTGGACGGTGAACACAATTAGTTGCGACACCAACGTAAATATACCGTCCCTATTTTTATGTAACAGGGCGTATTCATGAAGAAATCTGGCAGACAGCACAAAAACTAGCAATTTCAAAGGCGATAGGCAGCATAATCGTGACTCAGACGGCTGGATAATATCTAACCACTTACACATTTAATTTTCGAGTCACGGAACAAGAACGGAACATGATGTAGCGGTTGTAACGATTTGAATTATCATTCAGATCATATCATAACTCATGGGAGTGCAAGTTCTACTTTTTCCTAAGCCTTGCACCAGATATCCTTGGCCTCAAACGCCTTGCAGACCAATGCAGGAGAAGAAATCAAAAACTCCCAATGTACAAGAGTGTCCGCGCCATATCATGCTTGTGTTGCCAGAATTCGCCATATCTGTTGTACCAGTCGCGTACTTTGTCCCAGAGACAAAGCCAGTTCGTTATACCGTTCAACTCATCCTCCCGCGCCAGTCGCTGTAAAATAATTGCCAACTACCCCAATGAGGTAGCATTAGGCAGTGACCCATTGATCACCGGGTCGGTGTTTGTGAAGTTGTGTTATCAAGTCTTGTTGTAAAAGCTCATTTACGAGCTGTAGTCGGGACTCGATGAAGAGTGGTGACCGTTCATGTGAGGGTAGCTCGTACGACCACCCGACCTCCGCGATGATGAGCGGTTGGCAGCCTCCATCTGGCGCTTGGTGTGCTGGTGCATCGATCGCATGTAGGTGGAGAGGTCTGATGGGGGAGGGGAGAGACGGGGATGGAAACGGAGTAGGCGTCCTGGCGAGCGGGCATGGTGGAGGGGCTCATGAATGCGGTTTAGATGAAGATTTGTGCGTTGTTTGTAAAGTTGCTCGTGAGCGTCAACTGTAGGCTGAGTAGACTGAAAGTCCCAAAGATGAAAAGTTGAGAATTGTTTGAAAGTTGAGTAGAAAATGTGACGGTTATGTCAAAAAATGAGCTGATGGTGGTGCTTTTAGATCTTGGTGTGTTGAGACGGTGTGGTTGAAGTTATTGTAGCTGGATGCTGATGAAACGGGATTTCAAAAAACGGTAGATGGCAGGAATGGTCCTGGGTTTATAAAAGAAAATAAGAGGGGCGAAAGGGTCGTCGCACCGCGAAGCCTTGTCGTGGAGAATGAGGTGAACACAGACGTAGGGGAAAGTTGGGTAGGATGGGGTTTGGTGAGCAAGAGTACGCCCATCAAGCAAAACACAGGGTCCGTCGCTAGCTGCAAGCCTCCCAAATTTTCCCACACCCACACCCACACCCCCCTCAAAGGGCCCGAGAGAGGAGGAGGAAGAGGAGGAAGGAGATTACCCCCTCATCCCTAGCTGACGCTCCCACCATCTCGCTCGCCAAAGAGCTGTTGCATATTCCGCCTTGCTCAATCCGCTAGGGATCGACAGTGATGGACGGTGTCTTAGCGTCTGCTGGACCCCCGGGTGAAGGTCTGCACGATATGGCGTAACTGAGCCGGGGTCTTGACCGAGAGGCCAATCAAGCAGGCAGGACGCCTTTGCCACGGACAGGGCTGGTGATGCAGTGAGAGGTACGGCGATACAACTGCAGGGCCAGGCAGGGTTTGGTCTCTTGTGGATGCGGGACGGAGGACAGTCGAGGGGGGCTGGCCGAGAACGGAAAGACCCTGCTGATCCGTGTCCAGACTGAAGTCACAGGGCATGTCATTATTGGCCACAGCTCTCCTCTTCGGGGAACTGTTTAGCTTGTCCCAGGGTTTGCCAGTGTTTAGACAAAGACAGAGAAGATCCTCTAAAGTTGAGATAATCTGGCAAGTCTGGACTGGAAAAGACTCTTAGCGACATCGACATGAGGGGCTTCTCAGACATGGCGCTACGTAGAGATGGACAAGACAGGGACGCAAGCGAAGGGATTGTCATGAATATCGAGCCCCTCATGGGTTAAAGGCCGACAACAGGTGTTGGACCCTTGATTTTGGGGTGCCTATCCTGAAAGGTCAAAGAGATGCATTGTCGGAAGCTTGAAACACCCCCAGAACCAATGGAGGGTTGGGCATCTTTACTTAGTATACCATAGCACCGTAGGTATCGTCCGCCAGGGGATGAGAAGGGAAATACGGGGATACCTTGGAAACCCAAATTAAGTGGCATCCGCAGGCAAACCGACGACGGCGACGACAAAGGGGTCCAGGTCACAAGCCAGATAAGAAGGGTGTTGACAGTCAGACATGCGCTGCTGGCACTTGACCACCAGAGCTAGGCAACCAAAAGGGTCACTGACTCCAATGACAAGGCAGACGGTGGAGGTAGCGAAGCGGACGGTGGCCTGTCTTGCATAGAGTAGCTCGAGCAGCTAGAGTGTGGGAAAAGGTTGGCAACGGTGCGGCCAAGGCGTAGCCAAGCAGGACTTGTCGTCAAAAGATCGGCGGGTGAAGCCGACGTCATTGGCCGCCGAAGCGTCTGCCAGCCGGACCCCGGGGTGGGCGTTTTTGTCAGGAAGTGGGTCCGCAACTCTGAGTCGCAGGGCGAGAGAGCTCCAGTTCCCACCCCGACCGTCTGTGCCGGCGCCTGGTATACGTCGTCAACGACGAGGGCACGGATCCCCCCAAAGTTTTAGCCGCCAAAATCTGAAGCCATTCGCAATATTCCGCAACTCCTGAGTTTCCAAGGTTCCCGCAAGTCATGAGCTGTCATTGGCGAGATCTCCATGTTCTGTGGAAATGTCCTCCGGATCTCAGAGATACGTACCGGGATACGTACCCGGCGGGACTTCTCGAGATGCCTTCATGCCCACCACTAGGACAGGATGGGATTTTGCTCATTTACCATGGCCACAAGATTGGAGTTCGGCACTCTTGGGCCTCAATTTCCCATCCCCCCTCGAAGGTGATGGTAAATTCCCTCATCCGACGACGGCCTCAGCGTCCCGTCAGTGTGCTAGGGTTTTCTTTTCGTACCCTGTCTCGCCGCCTTTCCCACACCTGACAAAGCGACCCACCGGATCCAGACCTTTCCGAAGCTGTTCCAATGCGAAGGGGAGCAAACATCAACGGGGAAGGTTGGGAATTGTCTGCCCTGGGCATTACGGAGCCGAGAGACGGAGGGAGGAGGAGTACACTAGGTGAAGCAAGGTTGGCTGCGGTAGGCCGCATTCGGTTGTGATTTGATCCTCACCGAGAGATTGGTGACACTTTTCTTCAGGTGAGAGCATTCCCACCGTTCTCGCAGGGATTAATTGACAACCCTCCGATGTGCACTGGGTCTACATAGTAAAAATCTGAATGAGATCTGGCAGTAGACAAGCTCATGTTTGTGCAAACTGAAAGCAACCGAAACAGCGGGTTTGTAGCCTGATGGTCTAGAACCCGTTGTAGGCATGGATTGACTCCTCGATTGCGAGAAGACGGCTGCGAGGCGAGCTCTGCCAGAAGGTTCCCGGTACGTAACCAACCGTAACGCAAGGTGGACAGGCCAAGGGAGGGGGAGGGGGGTTGCGCGCAGCGGACATGATGGGAATGTGCTAGGACGTATCGGTAGCGACGGACGGACAAAACGTTGACGGGCGACAGACTTTCTGCTGGCTGGCTGACTGGCTGTCTGGAGTCGCTCGGACACACAGACGTCAAGGCTGACGGAAGACAGCTCTTCCTTCTCCTCTGTGCGTCTGCTCTGTTCGCTGCGACCTTGCCTCCAGCTACGTCGTATGGTGGTTGGGTGTCGTCAGGTCTTGCCAATCACACGCTGTGTGAAGTCACGCAGCGCCACTAACACGGCGTCGTGTGATGTCATACTATGTACTTTCACCCCTGGTCCGATGGTCGGCTCCCCTGTCGCCTCTGAGCGAGCCAATCACGGGGCTAGGATGGGCGTTTCCCTCTCACCCCTACCTGTAGCAGCGTTTTGCCAGAGTGCTCCGTCACACTTCCCCCCTTTCCTCAAACGTTGGGTTCATTCCGTCACAGGAAGGAACGACACGCGCGACGACCTCATAGCACCACTGATGGACACACCGGTACCACAACTCCGTCCCCAGTCAAGTCAAGCGTCCAGACCGAG